TCCCTCCCCTCTCCGCCGAGGCCAGTGCCCACATCCCCCCGATCCTGATTGCCCGATGTGGAAGGCGCGCCGGGACCAGCGCGAGGCCCGCCGCAATAAGCTTGTTTGACGCTTGGTTGACCCAAGCTTTTCCACTGCCGCGCCGTTACATTTACCGCATCTCCTTCGCACTTCAACCACAGGAATCCTTTCTTCCCCCCGCAGAGACGTTTCATCCCATGCACATGCTCGTGCTAGTACTACGAATGGGGGGTTAGAGAAGAATCCCACCGCCGTCGCAACAGGGAAGCTTCTCCTCACACCGAGCAAACAAGGGCCATCCGCGTGCAACCAGCATCAGCGTTCACATAGAATCAGTTCTCACATAGGAATCCGCCCAAGCACGCGACGGGTATAGTACAATACAAGTCAAACAGCTGTCCGCGGCGCAGCTCGCTCCCAAATCATCCCAACAGGGCGCCGTATCCCGTCTATACATCCATTTTCTTTCAGGTCAGATCAACCGTCTCATTATGAACCTCGTCTCATGTCCGCAACAAGCACAGCAACCCATAAAATCAGGTTTCGCTCAGCTCAAATCTATAGCTCCGCCGATCCCCCGCAAGCACCGCAGTCAGCGCTTGAACTGCCGTCAGAAAGAAGTTGCCAAAACGACGCCAAAATCAGAAACCCGCTGAAGAAACGTCGTTGTGCAACTACATCCGCACACCTTTTATTCACCAGCCCTCGGCGGGGCAAAAGCCAACAAAGGAAAAGCAAGCTGCACATGGCTCAGGTCCTCACCTGGACCTTTTGTGGAATGGGCGGGAGCGCCCGTGTAGGGGGTGGTGCCGGCGGAGGGCCGCCCGCTAGCTGTGGTAAACTTCGCCTCCGGTTGAACGCCGAAGACTTGGCTTTCGAACTGTTTGCCATGCTCTCGTCATCCGTCTGAGAGGGCACTGGCGGTAGAGGCCCTCGTGGGGGCGGAGCTTGAGGCGGTTCGGCCATCAAGGACTGGTGGTACTCGTATGATCGGTCCGACATGATCGAGTTCAAGCTCGTGCGCTTTGCCGCGCGAGATGGTTCCACTGATCGACTTCGTGTTCCGCCGACGTCTAGGAAAGAAGAGCGGTACTTCCTGGCGTCGTCCTCCGGTGTGACCTGGGGCGGCGACAGAGGCCGCGCAAACGATTCGTGATATCTCGATAAGGGCAGCACCTTTGACGTTCTTGGAACGCTGGCATCATCCGTTCGCCTGACGCCGACCTCTGAGATCCGCCGATGGCTCTCTGCCGCATAGCCTCGTCCCTCTTCACCCATGTCGTGGACGATGCTGGATCGTCGTCGCGGCACGGATTCCAGGTACGGGCCTTCTTTGCCCCGTGACATGGATCTCAAGCGCTGCTGGCTCGATCTCTTGACAGGCGACGTCACTTGATTGGGGCGCTGGCTCGTTGTTGGCCTCTCCGGGGGAGCCTCTCGTGGCGAGGGCTGATCCATGACCATCGACAGCGGCCGCGACTCACGCAACGCCGTGGGTGGTCTGGCGCGGGCAGATCGAAAATGCGTCAGCCCGGGTGTCTCACGCGGCGAATCATCTGCTTCTGTCAGGTAGGTCCTAGCATAAGAGAAGCGGCGGTTGGAGGAATGAGGAACGCTGAAGTTTGGCGTTGGTCGCGCCCCAACAGGCGAGGTCAGTCCATCACCGCAGGATACTGGGGCGTTGCTGCCGGGTGGGCACCTGATACTGCCGTGGAGCACAAGGTTCGGGGCGACGAAGGGGTTCGCGACTTGCATCGACTGTCGGCGAATGGAAATGTCGGATGCGTTCGGCCTCAGCCTCGCCACAGCCTCGCATTGGTCAATGGGATGCATCGGGCGGTCCTCGGCGTGCGATTGGAAGCTGTCACGGATCGGTGACGGTTCAGGGGAGGAACCGGCCGAGGTGACAATGGTCCGCTGTCCGGACGAGATGTACGAAAGCCGTTGAGAACTTTCGCGCAGGCTGTCGAGCTGTCTCTCGTCTTGCGAGACGGTGCTGTTGGTGGTGGAGACATCGTCGATGGACTGATCTCGGCCCATGTCAGGGTTTGTGAGGCGCGGAGAAGTCTCACCGCCACGGGTAAGTCGGTCCGCGTCGTGAACTGCCCGGCTTAATCGATTCGAGCCGAAACGAGAAAGATCCCTCACAACCAGAGTGCGTTGGCTCGGCTGCTCCCTGAGGTGCTGCGTCGCCTCCGTCGTCTTGGGCTTGCCGGTTTCTGACAGGTTCTTCTTGCCGCCCAGTTTCTCAATTTCGCCGCGCAGTGTCGAAATCCAGGCTTCCATGACATCGGCGCCTTCGAAGACCATGAGCAGATTGGACGTGCTGCGCTTGTCTACCCGGAACGGCAGCTTCGAGAAGAGAGATCGGGAGTCGGGAGTCGGCGTGCCATCAGCCTGAGCAGTCGACGAAACGTGGACGACCCAATGCCGGCCGGGGATGGCGTCGGTAGCGAAAGCCGCTGACGACGGGCCCAGGCGAAGGACCTTCTCCGGCAGTCGGTCGAAGTGGCCGTCGCCTGCGTACTGTAACAGGTAGCCCGATGTGACGAGTATGTATATTTTTGTTGTCCACTCCAGATTCTCAGCCGACACGGAGGCATTGCGGCGAGGTTTCTTCTTGTCCTTGTCGGCCTCTTGGGTGTCCTGCTCTGCGTCCTGAACGGGAGCCGTCGGATCCTGTGGCGAGCTGACGCCGGCCTTCTTTTCGCTGAACCGCAAGATCGCATCAGCCGACAGGCTGGTGGCGGGCAGGGTGACGTGACGTACGGCCTGCGGGAAGGCCTTGAACAGAGGGGGCATCGACCAGTGAGCGGGCGCGTCTCGGGGCTGCTTGGGAGTCCTGGGGCGTATCCTGCGTTTCCTGGCGCTCACGGCGTCGTCGTGGACGCTCAGGTCCTCTTGAGGCGTCTCGGGTGTGGCTGGTAGCTGCTGCCACGACGGCGCCGATAAGAGGGCGCCTTCGGACTTGTGAGCACGGGGCCAATGGCTCAAGCCGGCAAGCGACATTCGCGCCGCGGGAGTCCGCGGCCCATGAATGGTATGGGGAAGCGAATCGTTTTCCTTGGGCATCTTGGAGCGACCAAAGATGCCCCTGAGCCCGAGCCTCGACTCCCTGCGACTCGTCTTTGCATTTCGGGCGAAGAGCTGGCTCTCTTCCTCGATGGCAAGCTGGTCGAACCGAGCCGAGAAGGTCTGGCTGATCGGCGAGTCGAGCATGTCGTCGTCGGCCATGGCGTGTGTTCTGGTGGTAATCATGGCGAGGTCGTGTTAGTGATGCTGGCTGCGGCGGCGGCGGCGGCGGTGGGACGAGCGGACGACGAGGCCAGCGGGGCCATGCGCTGCGTCGTCAGGGTAGCACCCGATGATGTTATGAACGACGGGGACCCGAGACAAGAGCACTAATAACGGGAGGAGGGAGAGACAAGACCGGCGTCGCGCCAATGGTACGGCGAGGGGACGTCCCGAGGGCGGAGGAGGGCCGGCAGCGAGAGGAATGCGGGAGCAACTGGGGCTGGAGTCGGGACCACCAAGGGTCGGGTCGAGCTGGAGCGCCGGACGACGTCGCCGCCAACGCTTGTCTTCTCTCCAACCTACTGGCCGGCGGTGACGTCGAGCGGTGAAGGCCGCGGATGCAAGCCAAGGCGGGTTTGCTGTTGGACGTAGCAATGGTCGCAATGCGTGGGGGAGGGAGAGGTCTCTCCGGGCGAGTCTCGTGTCGTCGGATGGCGCCTGCCGCCTTTGTTTGTTCCCGCTGTTGCTGTCCCTGTTGTTGTTTGAGGTCCGTTGCTCGCAGCGCCGGAGGCAGGAGCAGGGAGGGGGTGACTGGCAGAAGGAGCGACGGGGACTGGGCGACGGAAGGAAGAGTCCAGTCAGTGACTCCAGTCGCTCGCTCGGCCGGATGAACAGGCGGACGGACAGCGAGACAAGACGTCACCGCGGAAGAGCGGGCAAGCAAGTTCTAAGCAAGGCGACGCAAGGCACGGCAAAGCAAAAGGCAAGGCAAGGAAGGTAACAAGGCGAGGCGAGGCGAGGCAGCGTCCTTCGTAGGCAAGGGAAACAAGGAGGGACCAAACGAGACGGGGGGGATGAGAAATGAGTGGCAGAGGAATCGTGAAACCTCGGGCATATGTAATTTGGGAGTGTGTCAGTGTTGCAGAAGAGCGCGAGGATGGAGACACCAGCAGCCAGACACACAGACTCGCAGACAGGCACCGGGCCGGCACACAGAAAGACGACTGACACCCACGCGACGACCGACCACGGCCGCTGCCCGTACCTGACAGATGGATGGATGGATGGATCGGGGGAGGGGGGGCCGCGCGCGCGAGGGGACCAACGGCATTGACTCTGGCGGACACACACCTCGTCGCCCACCTGATCGGTAGTGTTTCCCACTGAGCCCGAGGTCCCATGCTGTTGCTCGCACGCCCAGTCGTCATCCATCATCCATCGTCCCCTTGGCTTGTCTGCGACCTCTACGCCTCCCGCGCCTCCCCCGCCCGTGCCAAAACCCATCTTTTGTCGTGCCACTGCGCTGCTACCGGCGGCGCGGTCCTAGTTCCTGTGCCTATCCCGGCTCGCGGGCGGGCGTGCGTGCGAGCGTGCGTTGAGTTGAGTTGCGGCTTCGCTTGCCCGCCGCCGCCGCGGGCGTTGCGTCGCATTGTACCTTGTCTTCCCCGATTCGATTCGATCCCCCCATCCCACTCCCCTCCCTGCCGCCCTTCCTCCCGTGAGGTGGCCCAGTGGGAGGTGGAGCAGTTCCAGGCTGACTTTGGCGCCACGCGCATGCAGGTACGGGGCCCGACAGGGGGGGGGGGCACCCCATTGCTCAGCCCGCTGGTCAGGGACTCGAGCCCTGGAAGGCCTTGCGACGCCAGTGCCCAGTGGGCACATGGCGCTTGTACCTGGCGCGGTGGACCCTCGGTGCTGGAGCCCTGGGCCGGGCGGTGCCTGGCACCTCATCCTGGACGGCGGGCGCCCACAGGGCAGGCAGCCCAAGGTCTCTCCAACCTATGGAGCGCAGCAGTGGAGGGCCGTTCCCCCCCAAGCTTTCCGTCGTTCCCGTCCTGTCGGTCATCAAATCCTTGTTTCAGCGGAGGGGGACCCGCGCCCGTGGACTTGATATCGTCCACCTCGCCCACATCGGTGACATGCCAGTTCCCCCCAGGTCCCATCCAATGCTCGGGCCTCTGAGGGAGAAAGAAGGAAAACGAGAAAGGAAGAAAAAAAACTTTGGAGCAGAGCACCACCCCCTGTGACAGTTGGGAAACAGACATGATCCAGGGCCAGGGGTTCCCACACGCGTCGTGGGGTTGGTGTGTGTGACTCTGTGTGCGAATGTGCAAGTTCTTCTCAACGCCGCATGCATGGGGTGAAGACAAGGGGGTGTCCCGCTCCTCGCCTGCACGGTGGCTGCGAACGGGCGCACATGTGGTCAGTGACGGGCAGCATGGACGGGGGTCTACAGACAACCGTTCGCTCAAGACGGGAGCTCCGTGGGCTGCTTTTGCACGTCTCCCTGTCGTGTTGGCGACACCCGGCGTGCTGCTGCTGCACAGCCAAGACGCGGTGGAATCAGCACCAGCCCGACGGATACCCGACGGCAATGAGGGCCTGCCTGTGAGAGTGCTAGGGCCGCCCGTCGTATGGCCCCGTTGCAATACTAGAACCTTGACACTGGAAACCTCCCTGTAGCTGATCCGGTTTTAGCGTTTCGCTGGAGAAACACAGCCCGTCGGAGAATCCCGTCCTGCGCCGAGCAGCCGGCCTTGTACGTGTACGTTCTTCATAACTTGCGAAGTTCCGTATGGACGACTCGTTCACAATGATGGCGACCGGAAGCGGCACACGCAGACGGTGCGCCGTCAGCAGCGCCGAGAAATGGTCGCGCGATGAGTCGCATCAGGCGCACGCGCAGCCGGGCATCATGTGATTTCCCCCTGCAACCCGTCAGCCTCTCGCGTCAACGGCCTCGTCCCTTTTCGCAACCATCCCGTGAAACAGACAGAGACAGGCGTTGGGCTCAAGGCCACGCTTGCTTGTGCATTATCGGGACCCCTCCTGCCATGCTTCTTGCTGCATGGAACGAAAACCAGAAGGAGGAAAACGGAAAAGAAAAAGGAACGCCGCACACAATGCCGTTATGCACACAACAAAGAGCGGCGCCAGCGCCTTTGTCATGTCGGCATCATTATCAACTGGCAGGGGGAAAATCATAATAATGACACGCCCCCGAGCGGCGCATCACGAAATTGACTCTCGCGTCGAGGCGCAACGCGCCGCAACTGCACCACCACCACCGTCGCCCACTGACACCCAGCCGCGAGCGCCTGCTCGCTTCCCGGTCGTCCTCGAGCTGCACGAGCGCGCGGGCGCGCATGCGTGCAGACAAACAAACTGGTCAGTAGCTGCAGCTCAAGAGTCGCTCGGCCCTCCAGTGTGGTGCTGCCGCCGCCGGCCGCGTCTCACACGGACGCGCTCCGCCGCCGCCCCCTTCGACTCATCAACTGCTGCTTGCCCTGCTATTACTCGTACTTCATAGCTGCTGCGTAAGAAGCTTGCGAGGCTCCTCACGTCGGGCAGCGAAAAAAGCAGCAATCAATCTCGACGCTTTCTTTTTCTGGTCGACAAGTCACAGCCGGTCCCTCCCGCCAACCGAGTTGTCGGCACTCTGGCTTGCTGCCGGATCCACGGTCCCTTGTCCCCCGAGCGCCCCTCGCTCCGTTAGTGCTCCGTAGCTTCACCGTGGGAATTGGTCAACGTTCATGGATGGATCCCTGAGCAGGCCCAGCAGGCGTCGGCCCACAGCATCCCTGCCCCGAGGGCTAAGGAAAGGAAAAGACAGGTCCCTGTTGGCATTGAGCCGTTCAACAGGGTCGGCCGTGGACGACAAACTCAACATCGTTGTGCGAGCCAGGCCGATGAGGCGATGCCGGTCGCGTTATCTTGGTTGAGCCCACGCCGGTTCATTGAGATGGACCGTGTACGTGTGATAGCCTCGCAACCTTGTGAGAGGGGCGATAAAAGCCGGACTCCTGAAATGCGCTTCCCCGCTTCGCCAAGCGCTCCCCATCATATTGGGCGTCCAACGCCTCCGTTGTCGTCGTACTTGTATTAGTAGTACGGTGCATCCGCGCCCCTCCGGGATCTGTCACTTTTTTTGGCGGCAGTCAGTCCGGTCGGATGCCTGAACGCCAGACCATTCATTGCCTTGCCGAACCCACTGTGATCAGACCTGAACTTTTGCCTGTGCATTGCGACGCTTCCCGGCCCGCGAAGGGGGGCATGTTGATTGTCATGTCTCAAAGCGGAAAACGGTCCCTGCCCATCGCCAGCCGCACGATCCCACGTTGCGCAATGGCCTCACAGCTGTTGGGCCTGAGCGAGACAAGATGAGACGGGCTGGCCACGAGAACGACCGACAGGCGCCCCCTCGTTCGCAACGAAGCGCGGGCACGTGGCCTGGGTTCGTCTGGTCCCAAGGCGTTGCCTCTCATGGATGCCGTTGCAGTCATGTTGCGAGAAGCTGTGGGCGGCTTGCACCTGGGTGTACGGAGTACGGAGTGCATCCGCATAACTTGCGCCAGTCAGACTGCCCACGGCATGTGCATGTGCAAGGAAGAGTACAGTACGGAGCACGGAGGACTGTCTTCCTGGAGTATGAGTACGTTTTGACGCAGAATCGACTGCCTGGGCAGGGGTCGCCCGTCACTTCCGAGTCCCGAGCTTGTCCGCGACTACCACGGGTACATTTACGGCTTCCCGGCTCGTACGAGTACATACCCGTAGAGGCCAGAGCGTGACATCTATGCCTGTGATGTGTCGGCAGCGGGTGAGTAAACTAGGGCCGGGGCAGGGTTCGCAGGGTTTCCGCCCGAAGCCGCAACAGAGGGCAAGGCCAGTCTCGTCCTCTTCCGACGTGCCTGCAGTAGCGTCGAGGTATTCGCCTCGTATCGTCGGCTCGGCAGACACAGGGCATCAGGGACGGGGGGAGTCGTTGGCCTGCAGCGACGTCGACAGCACGGCGGCATGGGGCCGCATGAGGCTCCGTCCGTCGGCTCCCAAAATTCGACAACTGGGCGCATCCCACCGGCATGGCTGCATGTTGGAAGACTGACTCGGACGCCTAGGCAGGCGGCGAAGAATCGAGAAGACGACGCCTCATGCTCCGAGGTCGCCGACGACCAGCCACGGCGCCCGGAACAGAGAAAATTGTTTCCGGGCCGCGGGAAACAGCTCGTGCTTGCCCTGGTCGACGAGGTGAAACTTGTGGATACGGTGTTTGACGGGCTTCCCGTTGAGCGTTTCTCGATGGGGTTAGAGATGCGGGCACGACGTTTCAACCGCTTCCGCTGCCGTCGGTCCTCCACAGATGCATCGCTCCCGGTGCGAAGAGCATGCCATGGGAACGATGCCGTGCAACAGGAGCTCGCACATACATGTGGCCTGAATGGCGTCTGTGCGACGCCTGACACGAGGGCCTGGTGCGCTGAAGCTCTGACACAGGCGGCGGCAACGGTGTGGCTGACGACCTGTGGGCCGGAGCTAGGCTGAGCGTGCCAGGGGCAGCTCGGAACCCGCGAGGCGGCAACCGACGAGCGTTCGACTTGCAAAGGGCTGGAAGGAGTTGAACGCATGGACGGGCCGGGACGTATAGCATCGAGATGGCCGGCAAGGGCGCAGTCTGTGGTGATCATGTTTGCCACGAGCAGGACGTTCTCGTCCCGGAAAACTGGAGCTCGATACTGCGACCTCGAAGCTCGGGCGGGGACGGGACACGATGTTCGGGCGGGTGGTGGCAGCAGGCGTACGTGGACTTGTGGATATGGTAGGACGGGACTCCCCACGAGCTCAACTCGACAAGGCAGGCGGGAGTCGAAAAGCGAGGTGCTCATCGTGTCGTCAGAATGTCGCGACTTTGGCTCGTCGCCAGTTGCCGGCTGTTGCTCGGGTACCTACGTATCTGTAGGTACCTACTGGCACGGGGCAGCGGCGGCACGCAGTGGACGGTGCGGCGTCGGTCCTGCCTAGAACGCCCGCGTGCTGCCTGGCCGCCTCCGCTGGCAAATGCTGGACGTCAGGTGCGATGGTGAGTGGCCCCACCATCAGATGCTTTCTCCAGGCCATGACTTCAGTGTTGGGCTTGGCGGGGGGCTCAGCGGCCTCTCCCAGCGTGCCGACAGTGGAGGAGCCTCTATGGAATCTGGGAATGGAGCCTTCGGACTGACTGAACCGCCAGCGGGCGCCGCCTGGACCTCCATCGACTGACGGGCCCCGTGACCCCCAACAGGTGCCCTGCAGCCAGAGACGGCGCCTCGCTCAATCGTCATCGCCGCTGCGAGCCGTGATCATCCCTAGCTCATGTTCTATCAACACTTTCATCGCGACATGGCCCAGGCCCCTTTAAGCACCTGTCTATCGCCCCATCTCGACGACCGTTGAATCCTCATCCCCGCGCCCAACGACTTTCCCCGAGCTCACTCGCCGTCCTCACTGTCCACCTCTATCGGAGCCTCTGACGTACCTACCCACCCCGCCGCACCGGGCCGCCCCAGGCCCTGCCTGACCTTGGAGTCTCTTGAGGTGGTCTTGTCCAGCCTGATCCATACACCTCGTGCCCCTCCATACGCAAGTCCTCCTCCACAAGTCCAGCTCGACACAGACGCAGCCGCAGCACGTGGATCTCGCGTCTCAAACATCCTTTACCCGCATTCTCGTCACCGCCAAAAGACGCCGCGTCTGGCCATCCCTCCTTGACCCGGCACCAGCGGAAGCGTTGCCTGGCCCGACAGATAAAATGTCTACAAACGGCGACGCGGCCTCGTTGCCCCGCGCCGAGTCTCCCACGGGCTCCCCGCGCTCTGCGTCCGTCTCCCTGCAAGCCGCCGCCACCGTCAATGCTGGCCTGCGACGCGAGCCCTCTAGACGTACGTGCGCCGCCGGTCCCTGTTTCCCAGTTTGCCACGTCTGCGTTGCAGCCCCGCTGACCAGCCAGCAGAGTCATCTCAAAGCTCCTTGACTCGAAACGCCCCCTCTCCACGCGGCGGACGACGACGCTCGGCTGTCCTCATGAACTTGCAACTCAACGACCCGTCGATACCGGGACCCGGCGAGATGGCGCAGGAGCATTCTGGCAGCCAACGCTTGAGTCCTCAGCCGCTGTCAGGCTCCCCTCTCACGGCCGACCCCCACCACCACCGGGCGCCGAGCCTGGGCGAGCTCCATCAGGAGCTGGAGGCTGAGCAGGAAGCGCATGTGGTGTGTAGCAGCGACCCCAGCCCTCGCATAGTTGATGGACCTTGGCTGACGATGAACAGAACCGCCTCCTGCAGATGATCCGGCAACAGCAGCTCGAGTTGCAACGCCTCCAGGCAGGACGACCTTCCCAGGGGCAAGACACTGCCGCCGAAGACGCCGCATCCGAGACGCGAGCAAGACCCATCCCCGGAGCCTCGATGCAGTCAACATCACAGACGACACTCCCGGGGAGCCAGACCGTGGGATCCGTGGGCTCCTACCCCCGTTCACCTGGCTTTCCGCACCCTCGGAGCTCTTTCGACATGGCGCGAGCGGACCTTCACCGGCGATCTAGAACACCTAGCCGGGGCCCGTCGCCGAGGATCAGGGCAACCTCGATCAGCGCCGAGAGCGGAGACTGGGTGCTCGGCGGCCGCGACGAGAGCGCCTTTTACCAAGCGGAAACTCAGATGCTTATTCGGGAGAATCAAATGCTGAAGCATCGGATCCGTGACCTCGGTGAGACCTCCAGCTTTGGCGCGGCTGACTTGGCCATGGACTAACTGGCGAATAGAGAAGCAGTTATCTGAGATGTCGGGCCCTACAGCGTCAACGGAACCGCCCATCCCGTCGCATCTCATTCGCTCTTCGCTCACGGCAGACGAAAGCGAGGCGGAGGCCACAGCCAAGTAGTTGGTGCTTACGAAAAGCCCAGTATGCGATAGGTGATTCTCTTACGTTGTCGAAACATATTTGCGTCGGAGTTGTGGGATAAAGGACAGTAGTGACGACTCGCCGCCCGGACGCCATGGCGAGACGGCGACGGATCATTAGGCATTTAATGAAACGGACAAACCTTTATGTGTATATGTTGTAGATGTGGTCGCCGTTGGGGCGACGCTCTGGGTTGTGATAAGACGCCAGCCACGCTGCATGGCAAGACACTGACGGCCACTGCGTCGAGCGGACGAGCCGACCGCTGTTTGAATTCGGAGGCATTCCACGCCCAGGCGGACGCTCTTCCAGGCTATGTGATCCCTATGCAAACGGTGCCGCCGGAACTCGTTGGCGGCAACTGTAGAATCGCTTACCCGGGCCGGTGTTGCACCGGTTCGGCAGATGTAGGGCCGAGACACGGCGTGGGCGCGGCATGTCATTGGTGCGGGGGCCGGCACTTGGCCGTGCAGCCGCCGGGCGCCAGCTGTCGCAGCTTCGGCCGAAGCCGGACCTGCAAGCTGCACAACCTCGAGCGGGCACTCGATGTTGTCTGGTCCTCTTGTCACAAAGCTTGGGCCCCAGCAATTGCTTTTGGGCTCGTCCAGTGTCAGCTCGCAACGTCATGATGCTTGCCCGAAGGACCGTCACTGCGCTCCCCCTGCGGACGGGCCCTGCGTGCTCGCGGAGCTCCCAGAGGCTTCAGTTCAGCTCGACGACGGCAGCGAGGGCTGACTTTACACACGTGGTGAGCTTCCGCGCCTATCTCTCTCCCCCATCCCTTGTAATTCTGGCAATGGCTGACTGAAAGCACCCAGGTCATCGGCGGCGGCGTCGTCGGGCTCGCCATCGCGCGACAGCTCGCCCTCCGCAACGGCGCGGCGGCCTCATCGTCGTCGTCTACCTCGACGACGCTGCTGCTGGAGCGGCACGGCGGCGTAGGCACGGAGACGAGCTCGCGCAACAGCGAAGTCATCCACGCGGGCATCTACTACGGGGCCTCGAGCCTCAAGGCGCGGCTGTGCGTGCGCGGCAAGCAGCTGCTGTACGGGTTCTGCGCGGCGCACGGCGTCGGCCACCGCCGCACGGGCAAGTGGATCGTCGCGCAGACGCGCGCGCAGCGCGAGGCCCTGGAGCGCATCGAGCGCCTCTGCAGCGGGGAGCTGGGCGTGCCGGTGCGCTGGGTGGGCGACGAGGAGGTGCGTCGCGCGGGGGAGGGCGTGCGCGCCGAGGAGGGGGCGCTGGAGAGCCCGACCACGGGGATTGTCGATGCGCACGGGCTGATGGTTGCGCTGCAGGGGCTGTTTGAAGATGCGGGCGGCGTGGTGGCGCTCAACTCGCCCGTCACGGCGATCACGCCGCTGGGCGGTGGCGGTGGTGGTGGTGGTGGTGATGGCGATGCGTCCTCGTCGTCGTCGCCGTCGCCAAAGGGCAGCGCCGGGTGGGAGCTCGCCGTGCGGGACGCCGCCACGGGGGAGACCTCGACCATCACGGCCGAGACCATCATCAACGCCGCGGGCCTCGGCGCCGCGGACGTGCACAACATGATCGTGCCCCCCGAGCGACGCACGCGCCTGCACTACGCCAAGGGCAACTACTTCTCGTACGCGGCGCCGCTCCCCCGCGTCTCGCGCCTCATCTACCCCGCCCCGGAGCCCGGCGCCGGCGGCCTGGGCACGCACCTGACGCTCGACCTGGGGGGCCGCATGCGCTTCGGCCCAGACGTCGAGTGGGTCGAGTCGCCCGAAGACCTGGCCGTCAACGGCGCGCGCATGGCCGACGCCGTCGCCGAGATCCAAAAGTACCTGCCGGGGGTGGACGCGTCGTGCCTGGCCCCCGACTATGCGGGCATCCGGCCGAAGCTGAGCCCCGGCGGCGCCGTCGGCACGGGCAAGGGGTTCAACGACTTCATCATACGCATGGAGGACGGCTACGCCGGGTGGGTGAACCTGCTTGGCATCGAGAGCCCCGGCCTGACGAGCAGCCTGGCCATCGGCGAGGAGGTCGAGAGGTTGCTGTACGGGAGCGTCACGCCGTCATGAGCGGCACACCAGCGTTTGTGTCCGTGCTTTAGCGTGTCCACCAAATCATCACGATATACGAAGTACATATACCTGCACATAGAAGCTAGATACTTCCCATCACGAAGAACTGAACAAAGAACAGCGCGTGTTATTTTCTGCCCATGGGCGTTCGTGGTCGCGGCCACGTCCAAAGCAGGGCCGCGAGCAAGTATCGGGATATCATACAGCAGCAGCAGAAAGCGGGCGAGTCCCGACGACAAAAGAAGCGTGGAGAGCCATCCCGCAACGAAGAGTACGTCCAGAACAAGAAGCAGCAAAGACGCACATGCAACACGCGCACAGGTACACACAAACACACAAGAACAGTGTAGCGAATGAATGCCGTATGCCCGCCCCCAGGGTATACTATGCAAGATAACAATAGCGCAGCACCCGCAGCCGTACCTGGCCGGGGTTGGTCACCTCCTCCAACCAGCCCTTTCCTTACTCGTATCATTAGCTCGTCGGCCCGCCGTCCGTCGTAAAGAAGCCGCGCAATAAAAGGGGGTGCCAGCAACGCAAGATGATTTTTGTCGTTTCGGTTGCAACAAAGGTTCGAGGCCAAAAAGGAAACCCGACAGTACCGGGACGCCGCGTGTCGACCAGCACGAGAAATAGCCCACCAAGGACGCCGATCATGAAGAATAGAAGGTCATCGAAGAGAACACAGCTGCGGTCCTCCCACGCGCGATCCGCTCAGCTCATCGTGATGCTCGGACAGAACTTGCGACTCTGGACGTTGATCTGTACTTGGTAGATGCCGTTCTGAGCACCGATGAACCTATGGCGGAATGTCAGCAATCTTTACTTGTCACATGTCATATGCCGTATTTGCTCACAATGTCCGTCCGTCAGAGGTCCAGGCCAGGCCAGCGGTGTTATCCGGCGACGGAGGCACCTCAAACACACCGTGATCGGCAGCCAGCGTGCCCCTAATCGCGCTCTCCTCCCATCGATTCATTGCCTGGTTGACCAGCGGCACCAGCAGCGCCGAATCGTCGTGCTCGTCTCCAGAGCGCTCCCTGGCCTGCAGAATCTCAAGCACGTTCAGGTACGACGGGTCTGGCCGGTCGCGCTGGTCGCGCACGGCCGCCACCGCCTCTCCAATCCTGTCGACCAGGCTCTGCTCGGGACGGCGAAGCGCCTGTCGCTGCTCTGACGCCTCCCGGACGAACTGGCGGGTGCTGCGCAAACGCTCCGCCCGTTGATCCCGGTACGACCCTAGCATGTCGCTCATGGCACGGCCAACGCTGCTGCTGCGCTCCCTCGGCCGCGAGGAATCACTGTCGTTGGCAGACGGCCGAAGGTTCGATAGGTACGTCCAGGTCAAATCCGCCGGCCGGGCCCCCGCCTCGTTGTTTCGCTGGGTGATTCTATCTCGACGGCGCCGGTCGCCCTGAATCGCTTCCAGAACCAGGGTTTCGTTGGCTGTCAGCGGCTGATTAAGCGTATCCAGCCCATCTCCATGCCGCCGTCGAGCAGTGGCCGTGGAGGGAGATCGGTTGCCCCGTCGTTCAGCCTGACTATGCAGCAGCCGTGGGTCAATGGTGTTGCGATCGAGAATGTCGATATGCTCAAAGTGGCCTTCGACATTTATATCCACAATCTGGCGGGTGATAAAGTTGCTTCGCATGTCAGCGAAGCCCACGTGTCCGCGATCCTCTGTCCACGCGAGGATATCAAATGGGCCGGGGCAAAAGGCCATGTCCCGAACGGCGCCGGGGCCGCTTTCCGGTCGCGAAGACTTGAAGGTGGTGATGAGAGGATCTGCCCCGTAGACGGTGAGACGGGTCGTGTCGAATATGGAGATGGTGCCGTGTTGGGTTCCGACTGCCAGGTAGGCACCGGACGAGGAGAAGCACGCAGCGAAGCTTCCGCGGCTGTCTGAGCGATCGTCCTTTCGCTGGCTTTTGAGCAAGAATCTCTGCTTCAACTCCCACTGGTATTTGCTGTCGCCAGCGCTGTCTGCGGCCGAAGGCGAGGATGGCGACTCCTCCGAGCGTGCTGCACGGACGTGGACATATAGATACGGGTCGTCCAGTATGGCGATGAGCAGCTGCCCATCGGGAGAGATTATGGCTCTGTTGACAAAGTCGGGATACGTGACCACGTCGAGCGGCTCAGTCTTGTCGCTGCGCTCAAAGTCCCTGAGGCTGACGAGGACGACCGTGCGGTCGTTGTTGGCCAAGACGGCGACGCCTTCGGTGTAGGCCTCTGGCGACGGAGTCAGGATGGCCGGGGGGAACCAGAGGGTGACGCAGTTGACACGGTCCTTGGCCAGCTTCATACTCTTGGCGATCAAACTCTTGTTCGACCTGCGGGCTTGGGCGAGGAGGGAGAGCAGGGGGTCATCGCGCAATCCATCGAGGCCCAGCTGTTGTCGGGTCTCGGCGTCGAGCTCGAAGCCCAGCCCGGACTGGTTGTCGTCGTTGCTCTCTTCGAGGTGGATGGCGACAAATTCGCCCGTCTCGCTGCCGCAGCAAAGCCAGCCGTTCTCGGCGACCAAGCAGCGCGGCGCAAAAGTCAGGAGCTTGAGGGTCTCGCACTCCCGGGTCAGCGTATTGAGGCGCTGGACATGATTGCTCCCGCTGCCGCCAGGGAAGTAGACAATGTGCCGTTTCTCTGCGCTGATGAGGGACCGTAGCTGCCAGTGTCTATAGTGTGTGATACATTAGTGTAACCGCACGGGGAGTCAAGAGCCCGGTGGCCGGTCGTCTCTGGGGAGAGTAGGCTCGGACACGTACTGTGATCGTACGGGGACGCGGTAATGCTTGCGCCCTTTGCTCGAGACGATGCTTTCGGTCGGATAGGATCTGCAGGAAACATGATGCGATTAGCGAGCTTCGGGCGCGATGGGGTGCAGCTCCCGCGTGGTCACGAACGGATTATCGTCGTTTGCTGCCATGGTCGGAGGCACCGGCCCAGCCGCGGGTCAGTGCCGGCGACGGCGAGTCTGCGACGCTGTCAAGATGTGCCCGGCTGGCCGCCTGCGGCGGAGGCCAGGTTGAGTGTCGTACGTCCTCGGCAGCCCAGGCTAGATCGGCGAGTCGTCGGCGACAGGCGGGAGGGCGGGCAGCTCTAAAGATAGGGTCGCAGCTGGAGCCGAGGCTGGCGACGATGGGTGCGTGTGCCGGAGCCGGGAACGGGAATGCAGTGGTCGGATGGCGGGGATGTGTAGGGCGGGAGGGGAGGCGAAACTCGGGACAGGGCGACGACGACGACGTTGGGCGAGCGGCGGCGGCGGTGGTGACGATGAGGTGAGGTGTGGTGAGGTGATGTGGATTGGACGAAACGGCTCTTGCAGTTGCAACGCAGCACAGCGCAACGCAGGCGAGGCCAGTGGATGGACGACGGTAGGCGGGCGGGCGGGCAGCGCACCAAAAGCTGGGTTGGGCGATCAATTTGGCGGCGGCCAAACGGTGGCCGCGGGCGGTGTCCGGGGCGCAGAGCCTGGCAGCGACCTGAGCCCAGGCGTTGAGCCGGTGGGCGGCCCAGGTACCTGTACGTACTGGGTGGGTGACCTCAGCTCTGGAGGTGCCACTGGCAGCAGGGCCGTGGGATGACGTCGAGGCTGCCCGTCCCTCCTGTTATTCTTAGTGTCCTTTCTGCTGGAGGGAAAAAAGCACGGCACGGGCCCGAGCAGCTTTCAAGCAGGCCACGCTGCCATCGCGTGCCAGGATTTTTTATGGCATCGGCGTCCATGTCGCAGCTGGAGGAGCTGCATCATTGCTCATCGACAACATCCTCCCAACGCCTGTACCTCAGGTATCTGCCTGGAGCCTTGCCTTGCCCAGCACGCGCCCTCACTCACACCCCGGGTGGCCTCCGCTCAAGGGACCTTCCCGCCTGAGCATGGCCCAACCCGCTGCTCTGGCATGGCTCGGCGCATCACCACGGCACGGGGGGCCGCCGTCAGGATCCAGCCATGCCATGCCGGCAAACTTCGCCCTCTAATTGCCCGACGTTCGGTGTCCCCCACTCCAAGCTCCCCCCTGTTAGCCTCGCTCGCCCCGAGATGGCCTGGGAGCTTGAGATGCTATCGTTGTTCACCTACCTATTGCGGAACGCAAAGTCACACGCAATTGCTGCGGGCCGGCAAAAATAGAAATACTCGTGGAGAGTGCGCCAAAGCGTGACATCGCCTTGTAACGCGCCCTCCTTTGTCTTCACAATCACCACGTGAGAGCCAGGCTGGCAATTTGCGACGTGACTGTCCGCCGTCTCGTGTCAACTTCTGGCAAGGCTCTGCCACACAGAACAGTTGCTTTTGTTAACGATATGTTAACGATACACATTTTCGTGCAACAAGGCAGAGACGTATCAGTCATAGGCTTTCATGCAGTACTGCTGCCGTTTCCTGTCTCCTGCGACAGCGGCTGGTCGTGCGCACGCTCACCCCAGCTTGGGCAGCCATTGACTTTGCATCCTCTCGCACCGACCCAGCGCTCGCCAGAGCCCATAAAATCTCCGAAATCCCGGCCTCAAGCTGGGCGCCGCGTGTTGTGTTACCGGCCTTGCAGCTCGTCGACCGACGCAGCACCAGACCACCTCCCCAAACGAGTCGTCATAGAGACGTCGCGGAGCCAATGCCCGCCGTGATTGGCCCGCAAGCTCCTTCCCCGGTCCCGGCCCCCGTGGCACCGCCCAGAAGCTCCTGGTCGCCCGGAACAACGATGCGCCGCCTTCCGCACCCGCAATTGGGTAATTCGGGGGGCGCGCTGTGGGGACCCGCCCGCCCATTGCCTCTTTCCTTCGGCTTCTATGGCCGGGCCGGGGTTATCCATTTTTCTCGGGCCAAAAAAATTCGCTTCCCTCTCCTTCTTCCCATCATCTCCGTCTCCATCCCTCTGTATCACTTCTCTCCCATACCCTCCTCCTCCATACCCCCTTCTCCGAGCGCGCTGTCATCCTCTCTTATTTCTTGTAATTTGTATCCACATCTTCACAATCAAGATGCTGGCTTCGCGTCTCTCCCGAGCTGTAAGTGTCGCATTTCCCTCGCGGACCCTCGAGCGCGCCTCGGGTCGCGCCGCGAACCGCGTGCAACAGCCGCTGACTCCCATCCCATCAGCTTCCCCGAGCTACCCCCATCACAGCCCGCTCGGCCGCTTTCGCCAGGGCTCCTCTGGCCAACAGATTCGCTCGCTATGAGTCCACGGCCGCCGAGGGTGAGGGCAAGGTGCAGGGCTCCGTGATCGGTATCGATCTGGGCACCACCAACTCTGCCGTCGCCATCATGGAGGGCAAGGTTCCTCGCATCATCGAGAACTCCGAGGGTGAGTATCCAGCCAAGCTTCACATCGATGTCCCAGTCCGCTGACTCTGCCGCCCCAGGTGCCCGCACCACTCCCTCCGTCGTTGCCTTCGCCGAGGACGGCGAGCGCCTCGTCGGTGTCGCCGCCAAGCGTCAGGCCGTCGTCAACCCAGAGAACACCCTGTTCGCCACCAAGCGGTTAATAGGACGCAAGTTCACCGACCCTGAGGTCCAGCGCGACATCAAGGAGGTCCCCTACAAGATCGTCCAGCACTCCAACGGCGATGCCTGGGTCTCTGCTCGTGACCAGAAGTACTCTCCCTCGCAGATTGGTGGCTTCGTCCTCAACAAGATGAAGGAGACCGCCGAGGCCTACCTCTCCAAGCCTGTCAAGAACGCCGTCGTCACTGTCCCTGCCTACTTCAACGACGCCCAGCGTCAGAGCACCAAGGATGCTGGTCAGATTGCCGGCCTCAACGTCCTCCGTGTCGTCAACGAGCCCACTGCCGCCGCCCTCGCCTACGGTCTCGAGAAGGAGGCTGACCGCGTCGTCGCCGTCTACGATCTTGGTGGTGGTACCTTCGATATCTCCATCCTCGAGATCCAGAACGGTGTCTTCGAGGTCAAGTCCACCAACGGTGACACCCACCTGGGTGGTGAGGACTTTGACATCCACCTCGTCCGCCACATGGTTGCCGACTTCAAGAAGACCTCTGGCATCGACCTGTCTGGCGACCGCATGGCCATCCAGCGTATCCGTGAGGCCGCTGAGAAGGCCAAGATCGAGCTGTCCTCGTCCCTCCAGACCGACATCAACCTGCCCTTCATCACCGCCGACTCCTCTGGCCCCAAGCACATCAACATGAAGCTCTCCCGCGCCCAGCTCGAGAAGATGGTTGACCCTCTCATCACCCGCACCATCGAGCCCGTCCGCAAGGCCCTTAAGGACGCCAGCCTCCAGCCCAAGGACATCCAGGAGGTCATCCTCGTCGGTGGCATGACCCGCATGCCTAAGGTTGCTGAGTCCGTCAAGAGCATCTTCGGCCGCGACCCCGCCAAGTCCGTCAACCCCGATGAGGCCGTCGCCATCGGCGCTGCCATCCAGGGTGCCGTTCTCTCCGGTGAGGTCAAGGACCTGCTGCTCCTCGACGTCACCCCCCTGTCCCTCGGTATCGAGACTCTGGGCGGTGTCTTCACCCGTCTGATCAACCGCAACACCACCATCCCCACCAAGAAGTCTCAGGTCTTCTCTACCGCTGCCGACTTCCAGACGGCTGTCGAGATCAAGGTCTACCAGGGTGAGCGTGAGCTTGTCCGCGACAACAAGCTTCTGGGCAACTTCCAGCTCGTCGGCATTCCCCCTGCCCACCGTGGCGTGCCCCAGGTCGAGGTCACCTTTGACATTGACGCCGACTCTATCGTCCACGTCCACGCCAAGGACAAGTCCACCAACAAGGACCAGTCCATCACCATCGCCTCTGGCTCCGGTCTTTCCGACAACGAGATCCAGCAGATGGTTGAGGACTCCGAGAAGTACGCTGAGGCCGACAAGGAGCGCAAGGCTGCCATCGAGGCTGCCAACCGCGCCGACAGCGTCCTCAACGACACCGACCGTGCCCTGAACGAGTACGCCGACAAGCTCGACAAGGCCGAGGCCGACGGCATCAAGGAGAAGATTGCCTCTCTCCGCGAGTTCGTCGCCAAGAGCCAGTCTGGCGAGGGCACCGCCACCGCCGCCGAGATCAAGGAGAAGACCGATGAGCTCCAGATGGCCAGCCTGAACCTCTTCGACAAGATGCACAAGGCCCGCAACGAGTCTGGCGAGGGCCAGCAGGCCTCGGGCGAGCAGCAGGCTCCCGAGGGCGAGAAGAAGGACGAGAACAAGCCTTAAGAAGGTAGCTCTTGAGCCTCGATGATTTGTCCGAATATTGGAGGAGCGTGGGGAGCGACATAGATCCCTTTGACTTCTTGTTGTATTACAGTGTACTCATATCCCGTCTCAGCCGCAGCTTGACGTTTCGCACTTTTGGCCCATGTTCTTAATACCATGGTTGGCGGGGGAATCTGGCGTTGGAGCATCAAAACCTCTTTGAGAGTTCATCTCCGGTTGTGTTTATGAGACGACGGCATGGACACGCAGGGGAGCATTGTGTTTTTTTGGATGGCTTGAAAATGTACAAGGCCTTGTACAGGTAGATGATAATACCAGCTCCCCCCTCTCAACTACGGTTGCTCCCAATGCCCATATGCCATGTGAAGAGAAATTCTGGGTATGGATGCCAATGACGAATGTGAAGAGGCTTCCCAAAACAACACCATTAGCGCCCATGTGCGGTCCAAACTGTCAAGCCATCCAACCCCAAGCCGTGTTTAACATGTTGGTCCCATGCCAGTGCAGGACGTCTGGCCGCCCATCTTTCCCGTCAGACCTCTCCCACGTCGCCTCATCGAGCTCAAGCGGCGGACCGTCGCCCTCCACGTCGGGCTCGTCCCTGTAGCGCTCCAGGAGGGGCTGCTGTGCGGCGTGCTCGGCGATTCCCAGGATCAGGTAGGGGATGTACATGCTCGAGCGCGGGCTGCTGCCGCTACCACCGCCTCCGCCTCCTCCTCGACCTGCCTGCGCCTGCGCCATGACGTTGAACCCCGTGGGGTCGTAGAGCGATTGCGGGCGGGATGTCATTTCGTGGCGGCTTAGACGGTTGGGGTTGCTTCCTCCTGCTGCTGCTGCTCCATCGCCGGTGCCGTTTCTGCTGGTGCTGCTGTTGGTGGTGGTGTTGCTGCGTGTCCAGGGCAAGAAGATGAAGGGCGCGAAGAGGGAAGAAGCGCGCCGGGGGCGGCGGAGGCTGAGGAAGAGGAGCAGGACGAGCAGGAAGGCGAATATGGCGGCGGTGAGGGCGAGGGCGGCGGGGACGTCGTCGGTGCCGGGGAAGGTGCCGGTGGTGGTGGTGGAGGAGTCGGAGGGGTGTGAGTCGGAGTCGGTGGTGGTGACGCCGGGGCCGGCGCCAGCGGGTGTGAGGAAGGGGGCTACGAGGTCGACGAGCCGCGAGGAGAGCGAGATGGAGGTTGATGATGACGGCCGGGGGGTGAGGAAGGCCTCCGGCCGGGGGGGACGGGGCACCATGGGATCGAGACTGGCGATGGAGCTCCCCAGCGGGTATTACAGGTACGCGATGAATCGACCAACCGGGACTTGGTGAAGGCCAATCGCCCCTCTAAGCTTGGTCGTGACGGGAACTCGTGCGAAGCAAGATGGCAAAGTCGCTGAACGAGGCAAAATCCTACGACGATGGCGATGCAGAATCCAGCGAGAAGGCGAGGAGCAGCAAGATAAAAAAAACCCCCGGCCGTCTCTGACAAGGGAGGATCATTGCCACCCTCGGGGAGCCCGTCATTCCAATATACCGAACCGCGCGGGAGAGGAACGCAGCTATCGTGGGCACATCTACGGCTCCCTTGGGCGTGTGTGAGACACTCCCAAGGCCCGAGTCTCACAGCACGCTCGAGACGCGCCAAAGGGGGAGAGGGGAGAGAGGAGCCTGGGGGGTGTCTGCTGCGGAGGGGCGCAGTTTTCTACAGCGGAAAATAGACCCTTGACGAGAGGAGAAGAAACAAAAAAATCGATAATCACGCGGGTGGCGAGACGGAGGGATCGTCAGGATGTAAATTTGGCAAGAGGCTGTATAAGATACGTTCCGGAGCTCGGTTCGCATGTCCTTCACCTCCCAAAGCCGAACCATCCTCTCTTGGCTTGCGGCGCGGGCTCCTTCACAGGCTCGGGAGCCGCTGCGGGGGTTGCGGCCGCAGCAGTTTTGCCGGGGTAGTCGATGTAGTTCCAGGCGACGTCAAGGAAGATGGGCTTCATGGGGACGAGCGCCAACTTGGGCGGGAACTCGACGAGGTTGGACAGGTCCACGCCGTCGGAGGGATAATCCTGCAGCCGCTCGAGCAGCGGGATCCTAGGGCCCTTGCCCGCCTCATCGCTCTCTGTCTTACGGAGGTTGTCGATGTGGACAATGGCGCGGTGTCGCTGCAGCTCGCCGTTGAGTAGGTTCGCGAGGGCCGACACCGATTCCGATGTGACTTCGACGTTCAGTGGTGACGAGCTAGTCGAGTCCGATGTCTTGGGCACCTTCGACGCTGACTCTTGGCACAGCTCGGCGGCCCGGTTTATCAGGGCCAGGGCATTGGCGACGTTGCCAATGATGGCGTGCGAGCGGGCGATCGACAGGCACCTGGCAGGCGGGTCAGTGGGATGGCAAGATTGGCAGTTCGCAAGGGGGTCTTACTTGAGTGACTCAAAGTACTTCTCAACCGCGTCGAGCTTCGTCGCAAGCCCCTCGTCGGCCGCTACACCAGGGAGTTCGTTGATGGAGTTGAGATTCTGCAGGGTGCCGTCGTAGAGTGCCAGCTTTTCCTTGAGCTTCACCAGCTTCTTACGCGTGGGAAGCTCCCTCTCTTTCTTACCCGCATCCGCGGCAGCCTTGGACTTCTTCTTTCGCCGCAGCGAGCCGTACTCTTCGGGGGCACCGTCCTGTCGGCCGGTCAATACGCGGTTCCGGCCGATTCTCCAGCTGATCATCTCGTAGTTGACGGCGGTTCGGGTGATTTGCAATCTCTGCATGCGGGGGTCGCTTTGCGCGACGCCTTCGGCCTTGAGTTCGTCGATGGCCTGCTTGGTCGCATCCACGGCGTCTTGTGTAGCCGTCAATATTTCGTCGTAAACGGCGGCCACCTCGTAAGGCTCCTTGTCCTTGGATGCCTCGACGGCGGCAGCCAACCGCGACTTGGCGCCCTCGACAGACGCCCAAGCCAGCGATATCTGGGCATCCTCAATCTGGACCTCCCTGGAGCGCCAGGTCAGGGTCCTCGGTGCGCTCTCCGCGGTAATGCCAGTCTTGGTCGCTGCGTCTGCTTCGGCGAGGATGGACGAGTCAATCTCGTCTACCTCGCGGACCAGCTCAGCATCCGACCGAGGGAAAGCCTTGCGCGCAATGGCAGGGATGGGGACGGTTCGAGGGGTCTTTAGTTGGTAGGCGGCATATCGAATGGAGGGATCGATGGTCTCAGAGAGCAGGTCTTTGAACAGGTCGCCCTTGCCGGTCGTCGCCAACGCGCTGTAGATGATGCGGGCAATGGCGTAGCTCTGGAGGCAGGGCTCCCAGGTGTGCTTTTCGAACTGCATTGCGCCTCGGATGAGGGCGGCGTACGCCTTGGCCTCGATGACATCGCCGTCGGAGGCCCCAGACACGGCCTGTTGGGAGAGGGCGTCGACGAGGTCCTGGGCGGCGCGGGCTGCCTTGTCGAGTCTCGAGACGATGTGGGAGCGTGTGCGGCTGGAGAGGCCCTTCTGGTCGGCGGTGTGCGCGGCTTTGATGCTCATGGCCTGGGCAAAAGCTCGCTCGCTCGTCAGGAGCACCAGGTGAACGTGCCTGCCAATGGGTCAGTCATGGGCGGGAGGGTTCGGCTAGGGTACGGTCCGGACTCACTCATGGCTGCTGGCAACATCCTCGGCGGTGATCTTGTCCTTCTTGTGGAACTTGCCGCGGTTCTTGGTCGCAATGGCCAGCTTCTTGCGGGCGTTGAGGAGGCGCTTGGAAAGCGCTGAGTGGTAGGTGGAGTAGTCGCCGTAAAGGAGGGCCTGGTCGCGGCCTTGGACGACGAAGCTGGTGATGTCCATGGTCGCGCGGGTTGCCCTTGCGTCGCGGAGCTCTCGATTGCTGGGGCAAGGGCAGGTCGGGCTGTTCCAACTTCTAATCCAGGAGTCGGCCTGCACGCGACGTCGAGGCTGTTCAGAGTCGAGAGATGTGGCCGCTGGTGGGGACGAATGGCGGGGCAGCAACATCCACCCACGCCTGCCGTCGAGACCACCAAAAAAAATGAGCCTCCGCGCAGCTCAGTCGCCGCGATGGTTGCCCGCTTATGTAATATTGCAGGTGTCGCATCGACCTACCCTGCTGCAAGGTGTACAAACAAAATCACGGCTGCCATTTCATTACGAATGCTACTTTGCATAAAGCATGATCCGGACATCCAAGAACGTGGTCGACTTGGCGCCTCACCAGCAGGAAGCGCTCTCTGCCTTGTAATTTTTAGCACTGGCGATGCGCACCTGACTTCAAGTGCATGCTCGTTGGGCGATCGGGGTTTCGTGGTGGTGTAGGGCGCCTCGCCGGCAATTCCACGCCACGACCTGTGGCGGCTGGCATCTTACGAGGTGCATTCGGCGTGGCGTCTTAAACCAGGTTGGGGCAGTTCTCACGGCCAGACTTATACCGGCCGTGCTGTGCTCGGGGTCCAGACAGCATGGCCCTGATGTCGAGCACTCATTCGCCAGCTCAAAGGGCATCGGCTCCCGCGGACGGTGGACGCAGAGTCGGTGAGGCGTGCAGCGAGCCCGTTGGACGAGAAGGCGGGAGGGGAATCGGGCCCCGAGTAGGCACCTACCACTGCGATGGAGGCAGGACGTACTTTAGATAGACCGGCGGGTAGGCCCGCGTTCACGGGCGGGACAAGGGGATGTGTGTGTGTGGTTGTCTTCCAAGATTGAGGAACATTCAAATGCCCCATCCACAGAGCGAAGGATATCTCAAGCAGATGGCAAATTTCCCTGGCCGTATCGGGCACCAGCAGTGGCCATCAGTCGGTGCCGAATGGCCAACCGTCGACAACAGCGGTGCGGCCGCCAAACGGCATAATAACGGCAGCGGAGTACACCTGCAGTCCAGCATCCATGCGCAAATGGCCGATGCGCAAGCGGCGGCACCGCCCCTTGGCACGCACACACATGCGCCCGCCCTCGGGGTGACGGGGGCTCGATGACGACTTGTCGGTACGCCCTGACCAGCACCTGCACCTGAGAGCCGCGCCGCGCTCGTCTCGGCAGTCCCCCCCAAACGATGCAAGAGAGGCGAAGAGCACAGAGAAAAAAAAAGCCGACAGCTCACGTGCTCGCCCGCAGTGGCTTCTGGGGTGCCAGCTAGGCGGATCCGGGGGGGTCGCGCAGGCCAATCAAGGGCCGGGGTGGGCCTGCGAACTGCAAACAGTGCCGTGCAGGTGACCTTGCCGGCGTGCAGGCAGCGCATCGCAGGGAAGCCTGGACTTTGACCTGCGGTGCAGGCCGGGCTGATGAGGCGGGTGGGTGGTGGTGGTAGAGGGAGTGCTTGATTCGTGTACTCTGTACCGATGAGATCCAGCATCGACGTTGCAGTACAGCACTTACGGAACCGCACCGCAGTCATCGGGCAGTCCTATGCTGTACCGTCAAGTACCTCTTGACATTGCCTCCTACCGTGCGCGGTAGAGACCACGCAGAAAAGGCACCTCCCGATACCTACCTCCCATTCGAGGCTCCTCCTCCACCACATCCTCCAAAGGTCGCCCGCCCGCGCCTGCCTACAGCACCTGCACCTACATACCTAGTACATACTGTACCTGGTACCTCGAGGTTGCCTGCCTCTCCTTCCCAACGGCAAGCGACTTCCCTCCCGCCTTCACCACGTCGCACAGGCAAAAGCCTCCGTTCGTCCTTCTTTTTCTTTTTTTGCATGTGCATCTCCCCGTCGACATCCATCCCTCTTCACTCATCCGCCATCGCCCGCGTCCTCCTTGCAACCCTCCCTCTCCTTCCTCAACCTGCCCATCCGCCCAGGCCGCGGGTCGCATCGCAGCACGTCGACGTTGGGACCCTCCCACTCCCCAGCGAACGAGCGAGCGAGCCCCCCAGCGCGTTGCCGTCTGGGTGTTGTTTGCGGGCGCGCCCGCCATAACGTACTTTGTAGGAGCGCCGCCTGCCGCTGCCGCTACCGCTGCCGCTGCCACTGCCACCCCCCCGGGCTCCAGTGCGTGCATGTGCCTGCGTGCGCCCACATTCACGTCTGCAACCTCCGCCAGACCGACCCCCCCGAGCCCACTGCGGCCCTTGTCTGATTCATCAACTCACCTCCGCCTCAGGCTTCCGATAACGCCCGCCGTCTTCATAAAGCTCGACCGCACACTCGCGCTTTCTTTCAACCACGCACGCTTGCAAACAGAGCCGCGCTCCTCCCTCTCACCAGCGCATCCCTCAACCTCTTCACGGCCCTGCTCCCGCGCCCAGCTCTGTGCGCTGCCATGAGGCGGATGACGACGGCGCTCTCATCTCACCGTTTACAGCAATAGACTCGGCCCGCTCGATATACCTGTAACTCGCGCGCGCTTTCCATCGCTCCCACGGCCTTGGAGCTGCGCCGAGCGCCAGCATGGCTTCCAACGGTACTCCCTCGCCGCCCCGCAGTGCGACACCGGCAGCCTCCAGCGAGGCCGCCATGCCGTCCCAAGTCTTGCAACAGCCGACAGATAGTTCTGCACTGGCAAGTCCCTCCCGAGAAGTCGCTTCTAACAATGATGCCGCACAAGGCCGCTCGTCGCACCCTCCGGGGTCCCTGCCTTCCTGGAACCCGGCTGAGCTGCTCCAGCCTGGTCGGCGGGCTAACAGCGCCATCGACCTGCGGAGCGGGCTCACAAACCATGCCATGAGCGCGCCTCATCTCTCGTCGAGGGATCGCTCCAGCAGCGGCGCGCCTACCCCCATGGTTTTTCAGTTCGCCACCGGTGACGAGTCCACCACCAGCGGCTTCACAAGCGAGGCCTCGACACCCAGCAACAGTGGCGAGCCGCGACAAAACGGTGTCGGCAACTGGATTGAGCGCATGAATAATGTTCAGAGCCGCTCCGCCGTGCCTCAAGCCAAGCGTCGCAAGACCGAGGACGGCCAGGATTTCGCTGCTAGGACGAGCAATATCCCCGTTCGCGGCGGTAGTGGCATTCTCGGCAGCTATGTTAGGGAGAAGCGCCTCGAAGGAGATGCCCAAGGCTCGCCAGCCTCGGCAACGGTGGACTTGACCGGCGGTACGGAATCTTCCCCCCATTTTCGACGGCATGTTTTACTGACCACCGCAGCCAACGACGACGATGTCATGATCATGTCCGATCCCAAGGACGAGGAGGTCTGTTATGGCATGGTCAAGAGCGGTCTTAACTGCTTCAGGGTCCCCGCGCCGAAGCCTGGGATGCAGAGTCTATGGGGCCCCGGCTACCAGCCAGGCATCAAGATCAATCTGAAGCGCCAGGTCGGCGATAAGTCGCTCAAGATACAGGCCTGTGATCACACCCGCGAGATCGTTGGTGTTGTCGAGCCGAACAGTGCTGCAGCATTCTGCCCTCTGCTCGATACCAACATTCGCTTGAGGACCGACTGCCGCATCCCGCCTCACCCTAAGAAGGCTGGCGAGGAACCCGGCCAGCCAACCTCTCGCTCATACACTCTCGACGTGGTCATGTATGGCCCCAAGAAGTACGCCAAGAACGTCGGCCTTTTGCTTCAAAAGCACAACCTGAAGCTCCTCGCGCCGTATTTGGTGCAGAAGGGCATTCAGGTCTACAATCCGCACAACACTCTGTACTGCCCTCCTCCGCCAAAGGTGTATCCGACCAACTCGCAAGGCTCCTTTGCAGGGGTCGCCAACAGGACCGTTGAGGAGATTCGTTCCGAGGTGATGGGCGTGTTCGACTCGCTCAAGCGCAACGAAGATCTTCCCTCTGCGGACCCTCCCCCGACGATTCTCACGCCTTTGCTTAAGCATCAGAAGCAAGGGCTTTTCTTCATGGCTATGAGGGAGAAGACTCTCCAGGAACAGGAACACCAGGAAGCCATGGTTTCCTTCTGGAAGACGAAGATCAACGCCAAGGGTGAGCGCGTGTACTCCAACGCAATTACCGGCCAAGAACAGCGTTCGCCACCGCCCGAGACTCGTGGCGGAATATTGGCCGATATGATGGGCCTGGGAAAGACGCTGAGCATCTTGTCTCTCGTCGCGAGCTCCACAAACGACGCGCAGGTGTGGGAGGGCCTCACCCCAGTCCAGCGCCCTCCAACAGATGCTCGACCGGCCAAGGATGATGGATACATGATGATGCAACAGGCCAGCTTTGAGCCGGCACCGATCGTTCGCCACTCCAAGACAACCTTGATTGTGTGCCCCCTGAGCACCATCACCAACTGGGAGGAGCAGATGAAGCAACATGTGCAAGCCGGTGCTTTGTCGTACCACATCTATCACGGAGCGAACCGCATCAAGGATGTTGATAGGCTGGCGTCGTTTGACATCGTCATCACTACATACGGCTCCGTCTCCAACGAACTGAGCTCGCGCAGAAAGCGAAAGGAAGGACTCTATCCATTGGAAGAGATTGGCTGGTTCCGCATCGTTCTCGACGAAGCCCACATGATCCGCGAGCAGTCGACCCTGCAGTTCAAAGCAATGTGCCGGCTCCAGGCGGAAAGGCGATGGGCAGTTACGGGTACACCGGTGCAGAATCGTCTGGACGATCTGGCCGCTCTCCTCGCCTTCCTCCGCTTGCATCCGTTTCACGACCGACCCAAATTCAACCGCTTCATCGTTGAGCCGTTCAAGGCGTGCGACCCCGAGATCGTGCCGAAGCTGCGCGTGCTTGTCGACACTATCACTCTCCGTCGTCTCAAGGACAAGATCGACCTTCCGCCACGGGAGGATCTGGTCGTTCGCCTCGACTTCAGCCCCGAAGAGCGCGGTATCTACGAAATGTTTGCCAGGAATGCCCAGGACCGGGTGCGGGTGCTGGCCGGCTCAAATATTGGCAAAGCCTTAGGTGGAAACACTTACATCCACATTCTCAAGGCTATCCTGCGACTCCGACTGCTCTGTGCGCACGGTAAGGAACTTCTTAACGACGAAGACTTGACCGCCCTCAAAGGCATGTCAGCAGAGATGGCCATTGACATTGATGACGATGACGACAACGACGGACCTACCCTCTCGCATCAGAAGGCACATGAGATGTTTGCTCTCATGCAAGACACGAACAACGACGCATGTATAGAATGCACCAAGAAGCTCAACGCAGGCGACGGACAGAACCTCGATGCGGAGAACCAAGATGATATCCTTGGCTACATGACTCCTTGCTTTCACGTCCTCTGCCGATCTTGCGTACGGGGCTACCATGAGCGTGCTAAGGCACTGTTGGTTCCTGGCCAGTCATCTGGGCCGTGCCCTGTATGCAACTCACACGTCCGCCTCGAATTGGTCGAGCTTCGACGTGATGATGTCGACGCCGAGCATGATGGCCCTGCTAAGAGCAAGGCCAAGAATGTGCGGAAGAAGATTGAAAAGTACGACGGCCCACACACCAAGACCAAGGCTCTGATTGAGGACTTGCTGAAGTCCCGTGCGGCAAGTGCCGCGAACCCTGAGGAGCCACCTTTCAAGTCGGTGGTGTTTTCGGGCTGGACATCGCATTTAGACCTGATTGAGCTGGCGCTCAGCGCAGCCGGCATCTCGTTCGCGCGGCTGGACGGAACCATGTCGCGGACGGCCCGGACTGCGGCCATGGACAGCTTCCGCGAGGACAACAATGTTGAGGTCTTGCTCGTCTCTATCATGGCAGGCGGACTTGGTCTCAACCTGACCGCCGCGAACAGCGTCTACGTCATGGAGCCGCAGTACAACCCGGCTGCTGAGGCGCAGGCTGTGGATCGCGTTCACCGCCTGGGCCAGAAGCGAGCCGTCCGGACGGTTCGGTACATTATGCGTGGAAGCTTCGAAGAGAAGATGCTGGAAATTCAAGACAAGAAGATGAAGCTGGCCAGCCTCAGCATGGATGGCCAAAACAGGCGGCTTGATAAGGCCGAAGCCGCTCGGCAGAAGCTGATGGACCTGCGCAGCCTCTTCAAGTAATCGGCAACGTTATCACGACTTTTTCATTGGGTGGAACATGACATTTACACGGGGGCTACGGAGTATGGGGCATTACGATGGCGTTTCCAGGGTGCCTGCCGAGAGGGTCGGTCGCTGCTAACGGGGGCGGAAACACTCATGACGAAGCATTTCCCCGCCCTTTTCATTTTCCTTTTCATTTTACATGGAGTCACAGGCGGCTCGCTGGTAATGGCGATTCTTCTGCTGCATTTGGGCGGCTCGCATCTCGTTTGCTAGATACAGCTCAGCTCTCACGAGGGGATCGACTACTCAAGAGGCGCTGGCGACAAGGGGAGTTGGGCGGGGCATCACGGATGATACACATGCGCTTCATGACGGGGGCGGCGGGAGATTATCAGGCATGAGAAATACCAAGTCTTTTGTGTTTTGTCGCCCCTTTGTGCGCCGCGTAGCTCGCTCGTAAATGGATGGCCCATGTGGCCTTTTCAACTGGGCCGTCGACAACACTGTGCATGTATGTCCCTTGAGGCGGATACGTCGCCCCGGTCCGAAGCCTGTTCTACATCCCTCAAATGGTAGAGCCACCTCGTCATGCGGTTTCCCTGCTATACAGAGGCGTAAACTCGGGCCTCAACCCGAGGCTGCTTCAGCGAAAGGACCTGCGTCACGCACATAGTTCCGTATGAACGATCACGCGTCATCGTCGGCCTTGAGCCCCGCATACTCAGTCCCCTGGTTGGCGGTACTCAGGCGCGCACACAGACTCAACAGGACGACCGTCTCCGTAGCGGCATAGTGGTTCAGCGCATCGAGCAGGATCTGCAAATGCCTGCTAAAGTTGCCCTCCCACTTGCGGATAATCTCCGAGAGGTTATTGACGCGGGCCTCTGCGTCGTCGGCTGCAAAGGAGGCCTCGTGGTTCTGTTGTTGCTGGTGGTCGCGGTTCTGCGCCGCGGAGGAGGAGCCGCCGCGCTGGGCGGCCTTGGTGGCCTGGAAGAGCTTCCACTGGTCGGCCGTCATGGTGCTGGGCTTGACGGCGCCCGAGAGGTCCGGGTCGGATTTCTCGAGCTCGCGCGTGAGCCAGTTGGTGTAGGCGGCGAAGACGGTGCATGTCTGCATGAGCTTGGAGTGGATCTGCGTGGTTGATGTCAGTAGCCGAGAAGAGGGGGAATACGGCGAGGGGGGGATGAATGTGGGAGGGGAGGAGAGAACATACCCTGAGGAGCTTGCTGTTGGTGAGCATGCACTCCTTGAGACAGGTGTCCAGAAAGCCGACGTGATCCTGCATCAGCTCGTCGACGGTCCTCGACACGGGCTTCTTGTTGTTGTCCGCGTCGCCGTCCTTGGCGTCCAGACGGGCCATGAACTTGGTCCAGTTGGGCTCGATGACCTCGGCGGTGCAAAAGTAGAGAAGCTGCTGGACAAAGACGAGCATCCTTGCCCGGAGCGTCCAGGCCCTGCGCTTCCAAATCTCCAGCGCGGGGTTGGACCCCTTGTGCGCCCAGCTGACGCTCCTCGTCTGCGTCTGCCAGGTGGCGGAGAGCTGGGACTCGAGGTGCCGCAGCGAGAGCAGGTATCGGAAGAGGGCCTTGTACCGCCAGACCGTCTTGCGGCTGATGACGAGCGAGACGGGAAAGGGGACCAAGTAGTCGAGCTCGAGCGAGGTGAAGCCCGTGGCGTTCTTGTCGCCCTCCACGGGCTGGCTTGCGGGAGCCTGCGGCACCTCGCCCTGTTCGATGCCGGTGATGTTGACCACCCGCTGCAGGGCCTTGGTCAGGGTGATTTCGTTCATCGTCACCTTGACGTCCTCCTTGAACGGGTCCAGCGACACAATGCTGCCGGGTTGACGCAGGACGAGATCCAACAAAGACTGCAGCTTGCCCGTGTTGACAGTCTTGACCGGCTTCCGCAGCTCCGAGGCACCCAGCTCGAGAAAGTAAGAAAAGTAGTCGGACGGGTCGAGGAAGAAGTAATGCTTCATGGACCGCAGGCGCGCTGGCAGGGCGTGCGTCGTCAGGAGCAGCTGCATCAGCGACTCGTTGGCATGCGCGTACGCGTCGTTGACGTTCTCCAGGAACCTGCTGTCGTCAAACGAGGTCGGGACGTCGGTCACGACCTTGCTCACGTCCACGCCGCCGCACTCGCGGACCACGTTGAGGTACTTGCCTGCCAGCAGGACCTTGTCCTTGACGGCCTCGAGTTGCGGCGGGACGTCGCGGTCGCGGATGGTGTAGCGCCTCTCCCAGTACTCGTCGGTGTAGTCTTGCTCCAGCCTCTCGCGCCGGATGCTCTTCTGCTCTTTGATCAGAAACTCGGAGTGCGGGTCGTTGATGCTCCCTTGATGCAACCACTCATTCAGCATCTTCATGTACGGCCGGCTCGCGTCGCGCAATAACGACGTGAGCAGGGCCCTTGCTGCAGGATCTCCAGACATGGTCTCGAGTCTCTTGGTCACAATCCCTAGAACCACGCCGCCCTTGCAAATCTTTTCAGTACTCATGTTCCCGGGGATCAGGTCTTTGTTGTCATTTAGCTTCTCAAGCACCTTGTCATAGTCATCTTCGCTGTCCTCGTCCTCTTCGCTTTCGTCGTCCAGCAGTGCGTTTTTCTTCAAAAGCTCCTGCGCCAGGGAGTATAGCTGCAGCATCAAGTGGCTTGTAGATATGGTGTGGATGTTGAGTATGTGGACCGTGAAGGTGTCACTGGTCAGGAACTGCGTCTCGAGCTGCGCAATCATGATGAGATAGTCGTGCAGGAATTTGCGAACCGAAGCGCACAGGGCATGATTGACGGCTCCAAACTCTCTTCTGCTCAGGACGTCAACAAATGCCTCCAGGGCTGAGTAGTACGTCGCCATCTTGAGCATCGACTTGGTCAGGTCGTGCAGGCTCGGGTCGAGCCCCGGCATGATGCGGAACGGAGGGCCAGAGAGGCGATCGCGCTCCTCGTGCGGGTTATACCCCTTTGCGAATCGGACGTACTGGCCCTCGAAGCCCATGAAGACGAAGAGCAGGTCCTCCACGATTACTGCCTCTTGGACCTCTAGTGATAGCTCGGCTAAGGGCTTTGGTTGCGGTGCTTGCGGCACTGTGGAGGCGAGGGGCGGTATCGACACCCGCGAGGCGAGGGGAGCCGTTGTGTGTGGGAGGAGTGTTACTTCAGGGTTCCAAGGTGCTGTCGGCTCGTTAGCTGTTGCTGCCAAGACTTGGAAGAAGTCGTTCACGCACCTTGAGGCGTCGCCTCGGCAGCGGCCGACTCCCTAGACCTCGCTTCCGACGACGACTTGGGCCGACGCGCATCAGACATTCTCTTCTCGGCAGGCCCGGTCCTCCGCTGCTGCTTCTCCGGGCTCGTCGTGCGCGTGCGCTCGATGCGCGCCTCGTACGTCCTCTCCGTGACCCGCCGCTCCTCGTACCGCCGCTCATTCTCCGCCGCCGTCCTACTCGCCGGGCGCGGGTTCCCCGACGCAGTCCTCTTATGCGCCACGCCGGGAAACGGCCCTTCTGGCTGGGGGGACGGCGCCGTGCCGGGGCCCCCCATTCTGCGCGGTTCGCTCCTGAAGCTGCCGCTTCCGCTGCCGCTCGCACCAGCGACGCGTGCCCGCTCCCGCTCCTCGCCGAAGCCGTTGGGGCGGCCAGACGAGGCTCTGGCCGTTCCTGAGGACATGATGGCGGCCGAGGGGAGGGCAGGCTACATCAGAGGTGCCCCACGATACGCGCCCCTGGCGGCCATGCAAGAGCTGGGGCCGACTTGGGCTTTGCCCTGCGAATAAGAGTACCGTAGTCTCGCGTCAATGTATCGGGTGTTTCGAAAAGAAGCAGTCGTTCGGTAAGCTTGGTGTGTGTGTCGGTGTAGTCGTGGTGATTGCGGTTGCTGCGTGGTGGTGCTTGTATGTGTATATTCACCGTGGGGCTCGCAGCTGGGAAGCACGACAGGTGAAATGGAACCGCGACAAGGCGCGTCGCTGCCCCCAAAACCGACAGCCGGCAGCAAGGGGTGTGCGCCCACCCCAGCAGCTGCCCGCGTATCAAGACGCCCAGCCGCCCACCGGGTGACGCCTGGGCCTGAACGGCCTGCCCAGTGCCCACCACCCGCCGGATAAACACCGGACCGCCTCGAGCTATCCCAGGTAGCGGGCGGTGACGCCAACAGCGCCCGGCGGCCCAGCGCCAGGCCAGGGTCCGGGCGTCCGTCCACTGTGAGGTGGCTGCTCCGCCAGCGGTGGAGGCGCCCAACCACGGGAGCCCAGGGCAGCTGGCCGCCTGGCTGGGGGATGGAAGGGCTGCGTGCGTAGGCCTGGTGCTTGCCTAGCCTGGCCGTGCGTCGTCGAACCGCCAGCCAGCCTGCCGTCAACTGGTCCGGGAGCTCCAACCTCACCTCACCGAAGCTCGCGCATGCTCCCTCAGCCTTCCCTCCAACACTCGACGTTGCAGCCCGCCCTCCGCCCCGCGACAGCGTCAATCGCCCTTCTCCTGCTCCGACGACACCCGCATACCCGGCGCCTCTAGGCCAACACCGCCAAGATGTTTATGGCAAGATCCGAATACGGCAAGCTCTCTCTCTCTCTCTCTCTCTCTTCCCCGTCCCATGCCGCGATCGATCCCGCATGAAGCTTGACGCTCTCGCCGGCAACGCTCCCGACCTGAATATAGGGCTGACCTGTGCTTTTCCACCCCCCCTCGCGCAGACCGGGGCATCAACACCTTCTCCCCCGAAGGCCGCCTCTTCCAGGTCGAATACTCCCTCGAGGCCATCAAGCTCGGCTCCACGGCCATCGGCGTCGCCACCTCGGACGGCGTCGTCCTCGGCGTCGAGAAGCGCGTCACCTCGACCCTCCTCGAGACGTCGTCGGTCGAGAAGATTGTCGAGATCGACCGCCACATCGGCTGCGCCATGTCGGGCCTCCAGGCCGACGCCCGCTCCATGGTCGAGCACGCCCGCGTCGAGTGCCAGAGCCACGCCTTCAACTACAACGAGCCCCTCGGCGTCGAGAGCTGCACCCAGGCCATCTGCGACCTCGCCCTGCGCTTCGGCGAGGGCGCCGAGGGCGAGGAGACCATCATGAGCCGCCCCTTTGGCGTCGCCCTCCTCATCGCCGGCTTCGACGAGGACGGCCCCCAGCTCTTCCACACCGAGCCCAGCGGCACCTTCTACCGCTACGACGCCAAGGCTATTGGCTCTGGCTCTGAAGGAGCGCAGGCGGAGCTTCAGAACGAATACCACAAGGTGCGTCTCTCGTTGCGAGTCACCCCCAAAGTCGCGTGCTAACGCCTCTCTGCCTGCAGTCTCTAAGCATCACCGACGCCGAAACACTGGTCCTCAAGACGCTGAAGCAGGTCATGGAGGAGAAGCTCGACTCCAAGAACGTACAACTGGCCAGCGTCACCAAGGAAAAGGGCTTCAGGATATACACAGACGAGGAGATGGCTGCCGTCGTGGAGCGGCTGCCGGCCAACTGAGTGCGAGATGGCGTGCGCTCTGTAGAGAAATAGACTTGTAACCACACGCGCCGAGCACACTGTGGTGCCCTGCTTGGGGCTGTCGTATCAAGCGCGCCCATGATTGGCGACGTCCGAATTGTATGATTATGAGAATCTTCACATTGATGTCGACGACTATTATGGCGCGCGCTCGTGAACTCTCGCTTTTAGCGGCTCGACCGCGCCCGGCCTAGCAGGTCTCAAAACCTTCCTGGCACCCGGGATACACAACGCCCATGCAACCACTCGGTCCCTTCCTGTTTCCCCTAGACGCCGAGGGCTCCTTCTAAGACTCCGACACCATTAAAGCACCATGCTCCGCCTGAAGTCCTGCGTCCTTCAATCGTCGTCTTCCAACTCGACACGGTCAAGGTCCTTCTCGACTCCCAAGAGTCCAAAAGCCAGACTCGTCTGTTCCGACCTCACGAGCACGAGGCGCTGCTCCTCTTTGCCGTCCAGCTCTGAAATCCTCTGATCCAACCTGCGAGGCATCATCCACACGGAGATTGGCACGTCTTGCAAATGCTCAGGCCGCTTGTACGCGGGCCCATGTCCCAACTGGTGGGCCTTGAGCCACGCCGTTTCGCATCCAATGGCGATTTTCATGGCCGACTGCCAGCCCGTGAGGCGGGCGATGTCGAACATACGCTGTATTACCCAAGTGCGTTGGTCGCTGTTTTGGAGCTGGGGCGGGAACTGTCAGAAGAAGTTCACGCGTTTGGGGCTATGTCGACGTACCTGCACGGCAGCCACGAAGAGACAGAAGCAGCTCTCGATGAACGCGGCAGCCAGCGTGGTGCTGACGTCGAGTCTCCGGGACGAGTCATCCGCCAATCCCGCCGCAATGCGCCCGATTTGAATGGCATAGCCGGCGGTTGATGGAGCAGCCATCTGTGCTGCTTGCATAGCCGCTGGCGGCATGTTGGGGCGGCTTCGATATAAATGAATCAAACCCATGTAGTAGTTCATCCAGATACCGGCAACCGAGTATGTGCGGTACTGCAGCGCCGAACCGAACGGCGTCTCCTTGCGATCCGTGTATTCGCTATTCAGCGGCTTGAACTGCGCTCCGAGACAGCTTTCCAGCGCTTCGAAGCCCTGCCTTATGCTCTCCCACTCGTGTTCCGCCGCTTCGACCGTCTGTGGAGACGCGAATTCATCGTTGGAATCCGTGTTCGGGGACTGCTCCATCGGCGGGCTAAAACCCAAAGGGACGTTGAACTTCCCATGTGTTGGCACGATGCCCGGGAACTGCGGTGGAGAACCGCCTGAGGGGCTGGCGCTCTGCGGCCTATTCGCCTTCCGCTTCCGCGACAGGTCGCGAGACGCGAAGCTTGCAAGCCTGCCAAGGAGCAGAATGAGATGATCGTAGGTGCCATAGCTATCTATCGTTAGCAAAGGATGCGCGAGTATAGCCGCAGCAGCACGACCCACATGGCATTGAAGTTGGAGAGCGGCGCCCTCGGGGGGCATTGTGTCCACGCGTCGTAATCCATGCTGTGGTAGAAACCCCTTGTCAGCGGCGTGTCTGCAGCAATCTCAACTTGAGGTCATACAAAAGCTTCGTGCCCCCTAGTATACTCTGGTAGACGTCCATTTTGGCGTACCACCAAAAGAGATCTCGCAGTATGTCGTATTGCTCCACGTCCCGGTCCGTGGTGTAGAGGCATCTCTCGTCTAGTAGCTGTCCCCCTTGCAGTCCATAGTCCTCAGCGGAGAGACGTGTTCCTGTGATGAGGCTCAGGATGTCGTAGTCAAGGTCGCTGACGTCTTTGTCTAGACCTGCACCTGCAAAAGCCTTCATTCGCTTGACCGGCAAACAGACTCGAGACATGTCCCTCAGCGCGATCTCACGGAAGAGCAGCCTCGCGCCGAAGAGGTGGCTGCACCACTTCGAGTGGTCCGACGACCAGACCTCAAAATAGGCCAGGAGGAGAGTCGCTGCCAGTGTGGACAGCTTGGTTCGCTTCAAGGGCGATTTCACGTTCTTGGCAATTCGCCGAATGGACCAGTGGTAATGCTTCAGCGCGGCCGTGGCCGGTGTCCCCTGAAGTTTTGCGATTTGCAAGCTCGCAATGGCCATGATGGCGTGAAGCAGGCCGGGATGATTCAAAGCAAGGACTGGAAATGTGTCTATATGGACATTGCCGCGTCAGTTCATGAACAAGAAGGAGGGGCCTGGCGAGACTTACAACTGAAGAGGTTGTGGCCGAGTTCGGCGTTGCCTTCGAAGCTTCCAGATCCATCAAGCGGAGTGGGATCTCTTTCATACAACGACATGGATGGGCCCGTAACGCTTACGAAGTGCATGAAGATGGTTCTCATCGCTTGATTCCGAAGCTCCGAATTGGGCGCGTAGTCCATATACTCGGCCAAAGCCTGTTCCTGAGCAAAGGCCGAGAATGTCCTGACGACTGCCCCTCCCCTTGGATATGGCCAGAACATGTGGCGAGACCCGGCTGATACCAGCTCCTTGGGATCTGGTAACGCAGACGGTTCATCGTCAGATTCGGCCATGTACATCTCCTCGTCCGACAAGTCTTCCTCGTACTCGCTTTCAGGGTCCCGAAAGGCACCCGAGGATGCGTGGTTCGAGGCTCCATTACCAGTGGACCGAAGTCGCTGCTCTGCCGAAGAAACATCCGAGACGTTGAGATTTCGCTGGTTGTAAAAGGCGGCATCGTCCTGGAGATATTCTCCCCGCTCTTGACTTGCAGCAAAGTCAGGCCCCAGCAAGGGGTTGGGCATGGACGGACGCCCCTCGATGGGGCCATGGCCAAAGCCCAAGTCGTGGGCGGCGAGGCCGTTCTGGGGCTGCCGGGGCAGCATATGTGGCTGGCCGAAGTCGAAGGGCGAAGGCTTTGGGGCAATGGCCTGAAGAGGCATCGGAGCGGGTGGCTTAGCGTGGTGGGCAGCCAAGTGGTCACCGAGATACGCGGTGCCAGCCGAGTAGAGTGGAGGTGCGAAATGGCCATGCTGTGCCCCCATGGGATCTTTAAAGACGACCCTCTGGTTGTACCCTTCGCACTCACGCTTGGACTTGATGCAGTTCTTGCACCTTGGCTTGTTCTCGTCACACTTAATGCGGCGCTTGCGGCAGGCTTTGAGAAGGTTAGGGGCCGATACGCGTGTGAGGGAGGCACGGGGCGGATCGGGAAGTCGGCGGAAACTCACTGAGGCAGCCAGTCTTGGTTCTCTTCTTCACCATAGGTTTCTTGCCCTTGGGGTCTTCCTTGTCATCGTCATGCTGGAGAGGTGGTGTCTGGTCCGAACGACCCGCCTTTGGGGCCGAGGCCGCGCTGGTTCTCTCGGCCATGGCCAGCTAGGTGAGGAGACGCGGCGGCCGCTCGGGAGCTGCACCTGGGAGAATGTGCCAGTTGATTTTGCGCGGTTATTTACATTGCGCAAAGGTCCAAAAAGTGCATCGATGGAGCCTCGTTTCCTACTTCCGTGTGAGCTGACGGATGGGCGAGCTCGCAGACGGAAAAGGTCAGGGGACGAGCCTGCAGGGCCGGAGCAACGACGAGCGAGAACAGCCGGCGCAAAGGTGGCAGGAGAGACACGGCGGCTCAAACAATGGCTACCGGCGAGAAGAACGACTGAAGGGCGTGAAACACTGGCCGTGTAACTCGAGAGGTGGCAACCAGCAGGACAGGCAGGCGGAGGACGTGTAAGAGACGCTGGCGCTTGAGGGAGACGGGGGATTGGGTCCGCAGGGGCGACACACCCCCCAGCTTTGCCGGGCTGTGGTATCTCTGGAACGGGGCCGGGGAACGCGAGTCTCGCGTGCAGGTCGTCGGCGAGTCTTCCAAGTGCCGAGGATCGCGATCGGGCGTGGAGCCGTGGCCCTCGATGCTGTCGGCAGCTATTGGATGTAGCCGCAGGACCGTTGGCTGCAGAGCGAGATGTGTAGATGGCCGGCGAAGCTTTGGATCGACGACGGAAGCCAAGAGAAAGGCGGCCGGGACAGGACGAAGCCCCGTGGTGGGTAGTTTTGACGTGCTCGCAGCTGGAGGAGGTTTGCTGGAGGAGAGCTTGTGAGCCTGAGAAAAGCTGGCGACGACGCAGCCTCGGGACAGTGGCAGCCGGCGTGAAGAAGGCAGGTAGAAGGGTGACGAAGGCGACGCAGTGCAGAGGCACAGCACAGGAGAGACGAAGCCGGGGTGGAGGTACAAGCCGGGGCACCGGAAGTCTGGAGGTGGAAGCGGAAGCGGAAGCGGAGGTGAAGCAAGGGATTGCCAGGCGAGGCGAGGCAAGGTTGGGTAAGGTACGAAGCAAGGTAAGGTAGGCCAGGTAGGTAGGTAGGTAGGTAGGGTACTTACCAGACGGCAGGTCGGGAGGTTGAGGTGAGGTGAGATGAGGTAAGGCAAGGTACCAAGGCAGCTCCCGAGTCGGTACGAAGCAGGAGGTAAAATAGGACAACTTGGGCAGGTGCGGGAGAGCAAGGCAGGATGGGCGGTACCTGCCCCAGCGTGCCCCAATGCAAATGCCCCAATGCCCCAGCCAAGGCGAGGTAGTGCAGTGCAGGGCAGGCCATATCTTACATTGGACGAGTTGAAGTGCCGACTTGGCAAGGATAAGGTCGAGCCGCGGTCGACTGGGCTGGGCTGGGCTACGTTAACGTACTAGACTCCGCATATGCAGCCCGTACTGGGCGGGTGGGCAACTCGGAAGGTGATAGGCAAATGCTGTAGAGCGAGGCGGAGAGGGAGAGGTCTGGCTGGCAAGGTCTCCCTTGTTGTTGACCCCGCCGAGATGGGAAGGGACGAGTGCAGGCATGTACAGATCTGGATGACACCAGGAAGGCAGATGGGAGCTCGGGGGGCCCCCAAGCCACCCAGCCCATCCAGCCATCCAGCGCTGGACAAGCAAAGCACCTACGCCCGTGGAAAAGCTCCCGCTGCAGCAGAGGGGCGGACCGGGATGGATGGCACTCCCACTCGGTGCTATGATGGCCCAATGACGAACCCCCGCCAAGGGTCCCTCAGATGCTACCACTATTTCAGAGCGCTAGGGAATGGGAACCGGAAGACACAAAACGGCTTCTTACCGGAGGCAGTTTAGCTGGCAAGGCGCACACGCGCGCGCGGCTGGCGCATTGCCTGTCCGGGAATGGCGAAGATCTAGAGCGGAGTAGATGTGCCCTGGAGTGGGGAGAGGGCGAGAGCGGGAGAGAAACGGCTGGGCCCCAAGGGCAAAGCTGGCGAGGACGTACCACGGGCGCTTGGAGCACAGAGCGGGCTGGAGGACGAAGACGGGGACGAGGACAAGCACGAGGGCCGCAGAGTGCAGAGCACACGACGTAAGGTACAGCACCGTAGCAAGGCAGGTACGGTAAGGTTGTCTCTTGCTTTTCCAAGAGCACGCACGATTCTTGATGACATGAGGCGCATCGCAGGGGGTCCGCGGTCCGCACCCGTACCAGACAGCGGGCGCACGGCCACCGAGGTCTGTAACCTACCTTGCCATGCCTCTGTTGCTCTGTTACTCTATGACTGTATCCATGCCCATGCCATGCCATGCCAGTGGAGGGGTCCATCCTGCCATTGCTGCACCACCGCGCTGCCCCATGGTGCGGCCCCCAATGGTTCCCTACCTAGGTCGCCGTCCAGACTCCGGTGCTGGTGCGCCACCCGTCCGCGGCACAGCACAGCTGGGGTGGTGGTGACCGGGCTCAGGGAACCAGTGTGAGACATGACAAGGGGGGCGCCGCCTGGGGGGCTTGGGGGACGGTCCACGATGGACGGGGCCTGCACGAGGTGGCAACGCAGCTCCATCTGGCTGCAGAACGCCCCTGGCAGAGGAGCGTCCGTCCGGCCCAATTGCCAACGCCAATGTACATTTTACTCGTACTGCGAAGGGGATGGGGACATGGTGCAGGCGGCGGCGGCGGCTCGCCGTCGGTGGAGGCATCCGAGGCACAGATGCTATTCTGGGCGTTGTTGCTGTAATGCGATGTTCGTTGCATCAGTGCTCGTCCGGGGCCTGCCTGCCGCGAGTCGCTCGGCAAGGAACCTTGGGTACGGTCTCGTCTTTCTTTTGCGATTGTACCCGCGAGGTAATATCGTACATTGCCTATACTGCGATGACCTACCGACGGCTCGACTTGTACACACACACACACACACACTCACTCACATGCATGCCCGCGCCCTCTGTTGTTGGCACTCGCACGTGTGCCGTGTGTCACGGAACTCAGCAAAGCCCGGCCCACGACGCAATGAGGTGCATCGCAGCGGTGCAGCACAGCGCCGCGCAGCGCAAAGTCAGGTAGTGCGGGTTGTGAGGGGGGGTTGCTCTGCCGGGGATGATGACGCTGGTGTCATTCCAGGTTGGTGTGGGTGCAGGTGCGGGCGCGGACGCGGGCGTGGTCTAGGGCACCTGCAGTGAGTTGCAGTGGATACGGTGCACCGCAGTGCAGCCCGGCGCTGCCCCGTGCGCCTCACGGAACACAACCTGGAATACAGTGCAGCACCGCCAATGGCGTTGAAGTCCTGATGTTCATATTGGAAGGTCCCAAAGGCCGCTCGAGGCATGAACGGACCGGCCCTGTGCTGGGCCAACCGCCCCTCCTCGCGGGGACACCTCGTGCACGCGCGACACACATGTCCCGGTCCAGCTCGTCCAGTGTCCCTCGCTCGTCCGGCAACAAGAAACACTGGAATGATGAACTCAATGCGCTGCGGGGTGGAGGCCCTGGCGGCGGCGTCGGCGGCGGAAGCCAAGCAGATCGATCCCCACTGGCTCCCCGGGCATCAGTGGATCGCCCGCCAACGGGAGCGCGTGTAGCGCTTGCAGCCACGAGCCAACGGAAGGCAGCTCCGCTGGCCGGCGTGCTATGGCCGCCCGTGGGCGCCGTCAACGGCTCTGGCTGACTGACTGGGCCCGTGGAGCCATCCTTTGCCCACTGCACCCAACTTCATGATTCTTCCGGGGCGCCTCATCCATCCCATCACCACCTCCACGGCCTCGAATCCGTCTGGCGGCGTCAAAAGGCAAGGCCGCAACTCAATGGCCCCTCTTGGGGCGCGCCCCATAGCTGCTAGTGCTGCTAGTACATGCCGCAATGTTCTTTCATCCTCGCACAAGGCACGGCACCTACTGGCTGTCCCTCGCGGCTCGCACAAGCAGTGGGCCTCTGCGAGCGCCCGTTCGAACGCCTGCGCGTGTGCCGCCGTGCGAGGCTGGGTTCGTCTGAGCAATGCCACACAAACCGCCGTCCTCGATGGGGGTCCCTGTCAAGCCTGTGCGTGCATGCAACCCGTCGAGGAGCCACGGCAGCAGCACCGCGCCATTTGGCAGACGCGGCGCGGATTTCAGCAAGGCGGCTTGCAGGGCAAGGCACTCACTGTCCTGGAGGGTGCCTTGCTGTGCTCGTGCGGTCCCCGGAGTGTTTCCCATTCTGTAAGGCAAGCCACCCCCCCTATCTGCTTGTTTGCTACACTGCCGCACCCAACAGCCGACCATGACACGGGACCCATGCGCCGCTTGATAGAGAAGCGTGGCAAGCCGGGGGGTTGACTGGGCTTGTGTATTTCCATCTCATGTTGGTGAGCAAGCCTAGGCTCTTGCAGCGCGAGATCCGGAACAGGGGCCTTTGTGTCTGATTGGAGACCTTGGACGGGACAGCACGGGCAGTTCAGTGCTGCAATTGTCATTAGTCGTCCACCTGCCCAGTAGGTATCAGCAAAGCTCGAGGGCATCCCTTGCAAGGTATCCGTAGTTACTCCTGGGTCCTCGAGTCGTACGCTTTGAAGTACGCGTCCGCTCTCCGCGTGGGAGGCAGGGGCGGCAGGCATGCCAGGCCTGCCTTCCAACGTCCCTCCTGCCCTGCCTCATCGACTCACCGACCGCCAAGCCTGACCACATCGACCTGGGCTGCTCAACACCACCACCACCATCACCACACCATCCTACCCACCGCTGCTGCAACAATGTCGAGCCCAATTCTCCTTTCCAGCGCCCGACAACTAACGGGCCGAACCAGTGCACTTGTTGACTCGTTCACACATCGATAGACAGCCCCCTTGGCGCCACGGGACTGACGCCTGCGCCTGCCGGGGCCCACATCGGCAGCAAAACCCCGTCGAGTCCCCAGAGCTAACGACTTACATGGTCGCCACGGACAGGCCATTACCGAGTTGCATGGCCAAACTCGTGGCTGGACCAGGCCATGGTCAACGATTACGGGGATGCCTTTCCGAGATTGGACGCCAACAGGCCTCGACTCGCGTCTAGTTCACGAGAAGCCGCCCCGCGTCGAGATCCAGACCGTCCACAAGTCGACGCACGGTACGATTCTGAAGTCTTCTAGAACACAATCTAGCCAGGGATAGCGGCATTTGCTCCAACCCCGACCCCGCGACCTCGTTCACAACGACGATGTGTCTCGGCAGATGGACAACGACAATTCCCTTTCGCATCATCAGTCAAAGCAGCGAGGCACAGGCACCTGATCACTCTGCACGACATGCTGGCAGCTCTTTGTCGAGCCAGACTGATGTCGAGCCCGGGAGACTCGTGGCCGGCGACTCGTCTGCATCGTCTCGTCAACAAACTTCGTCGGGCCACCAACAACGGGGTGGCTGGAGTGCCACCCTGTCAGGGGCATTTGCGCGTAAATGTCCACCCTCGCCCTGAGCCAAGCGCCTCTCCCAGGCCAGCCCACGGCACCCACGTCTCACAAACGGCACTCTGCCATTTGCAAGCCCCGTCTCTCCCCGGCGACAAACCCTGCCGCTCGTCTGCGTACGAGAGATGGTACGAGGTGCAGACCCTGCCATTGATCCAGCCAACATGTGTCGTGTAACCCTCGCTCCGGAACCTTGCCTGATCTCGAGCCGACTCAGGAGGGCGCAACAAGGCTGCATAGGCCAGCTTGCACAAGCCCAACAGCATGCTCATCTGATGGCGCCTCCACACGGGTCCATATGCTCGGGGACATGGCTATCCGCATGTGTGGACAGTCTAACTATCGCAGTGCCGGTGCGTCTCGACGCCACACCGGCGGGGGCCGGGTGTGTTGCCCAGGGTGAAGCAGGCTTGTGTGGCTGCACACACCCTCGCGCCGTGCGAAATCTGCCATTGCGCAAAGCAAATCTCGTAGCACCTGCTCCGGTGCATCGGACACAAAATCTGTACAGGGACAGGGACGGCCGAGGCCGGGCTGAAGGGGCGTACGTGGCATATTGCTCTGTGTCGCCCACAGGACGATGCTGACGGCGCCTCGCCTCTGCAGAACCTGCCCCGACAGGCAGGCTCGCGCGGCTGCGAACACCCTTCCTGCCGACGCCATCTCGTCCCGTTTCCGAGGGATGGTGCTTACCACGTCGCTGGGCCCGGCTGACCTGCAGAGGTGGGCGGCATGCTGCTGCAGAATCCGCGTTGTGCTCACCCAACGCACCGGGACAGAGCCAATACGCACTCCTACCAGCGATGACAAAGCTCGCGTCATTGACCATTCGCGAACTAGTCGACGAGGCATCTGTCGAGAATGCCCCGGGGTAGGGCCGTTGGACAGATGTAGGCTGCCACAACGAAGCCCGAGGCATGGCGCCGAGCAAACCTCGTTCGCACACGCATGCACATGCAGACGCGCGAAAGCGCGTGCGCGGACCCGCACCCTCGATAATGAGAGCTGCCTGGAAGTGCGTGTAGCCTTTGTCTGCATGAGTGGTACGGACTTGGAAGCACACCCATTCATGTCACCATGCCACCATATCGAGTCTTCCGTCGCCAGCATGGGGGTCTCCGAGTCCAGGCAACAGCCGCGACGTTGCGAGCGAGGAGCTCGTGCACTTCCATGACGTAAATCCGCGCCCTTCAAGTCTTCCAACAGTATTCGCGTGTTTCGACATAACTGTAAAGCAACTTCGTACAGTGCCAAGGGTATAGCCACGATGTTGGCCCGACTCAGGGCCGCCTCAGGTCGAGGGTTGATAGCCACTAGGGTTTCGTAACAAGCAAACAGTTGAGGTTGGGGCTGTATACACTTCCCGCGATGCCTAAGCCGGCTTTTTTGTAAATGGTTCTCGAAAGTAAATCGAGTCTTCTTCCATCGTGGTATGTCGTGGTTGAGTTGCAAGCTCCGATCTGAGTTCTGACAGCTTGGGTAGCAAGGGTACGTACCAAAGATAAACTGTGGAGACGCACAGACCAAAGGCGCTAGCGGAGCTTCACTCACTCAACCTCCAAAAAAAAAAGTTGACGACCTCACACTAAGATCCCTATCAAGGCAGGAACCGCCTCGGCATTTCTCAATTTTTCACACACATCCCCTTCATCAATCGCCCAATCGAGGTCGCCAAAATGTTCGCCGTCCCAGGCTGGTCCGTCTCGGCCGACAGCCTCAAGGCGGAGAACGCCCCGGCGGCGCAGGGGGCCGCGGCCGCCGGGGGCGCAAAGCCCAGCAGCAGGAAGCGGAAGCGCAACGGCGCGGCCGCCGCCGCCGAGGAGAAGGTCACGGCGGCCAACGTCGCGGACCTGTACGAGTCGGTCGTGGAGGGGCGTAAGGCGCCTAAGCACTCGCGGCAGGCTGACGGCGGGAGGCAAGAGAAGCCGTCCAAGAAGGCGAGGAAGGATGCGGCCGGCAAGCAGCAGCAGGCTGAGGTGAAGGATGAGGTGGTGAAGACGGAGGCGAAGAAGAGCCACGAGAAGAAGAGCCATGAGCATGCTGCCGGCGAGAAGAAGCCCGAGGGTGGTGAGGCGAGCAAAACTCCCAAGGAGGGCAAGAAGGACAAGAAGAAGCACAAGCAAAAAGACAGCGAGGAGAGCAGAGGCTCCGAACCCACCGCCCAGGACGAACAGAAGCAGCAGCAGCAAGAGGGCGGCGCCAACGCCGCCGCCGCAAAGCCCAAGGCCAAGGCCGCGGAGCAGCAGCTCCCCATGCCGCCCAAGCCCGCCAAGCTGACGCCGCTGCAGGCGTCGATGCGCGAGAAGCTCGTGTCGGCGCGCTTCCGGCACCTCAACGAGACGCTGTACACGCGGCCCTCGGACGAGGCGTTTGAGCTGTTCCAGGAGTCGCCCGAGATGTTCGACGAGTACCACGAGGGCTTCCGCCGGCAGGTCAAGGTGTGGCCCGAGAACCCCATCGACAGCTTCCTCGCGGACATTCGCGCGCGGGCCAAGGTCCGGCAGCCGGGAAGGCATCAGCAACAGCGCGGTGGTCGTGGCGGTGGCCGCGGCGGTGGACGACAAGCACCACCGCCGGCGCGGGTGGAAACGTCTGGCATCGCCCCCCTACCGCGCACGGCCGGCCTCTGCACCATCGCGGACCTGGGCTGCGGCGACGCCCGGCTCGCCGAGTCGCTGCAGGGGGAGCAGGCCAAGCTCAACGTCGAGGTCAAGAGCTTCGACCTGCAGAGCCCGAGCCCGCTCGTCACGCGCGCCGACATCGCCGACCTGCCGCTCGCCGACGGCTCCGTCAACGTGGCCATCTTCTGCCTCGCCCTCATGGGCACCAACTGGATCGACTTCATCGAGGAGGCGTACCGCGTCCTGCACTGGAAGGGCGAGCTCTGGGTCGCCGAGATCAAGTCGCGCTTCGGCCCCCTCGGAGGCAAGAAGGCAGGTGGTGGTGCTTCAGGGGGCGTCGTGGCTCACAGCGTGGGTAACCGCAAGAAAGCCGCCGCCGCGGGCAAGAAGGGCGGCAAGGGTGGTGGCGAGGATGACCCCACGGCGCTGCACGGGCAGGACCTCGCCGTGGAGGTGGACGGCGTGGAGGACCGCCGCCGCGAGACGGACGTGTCGGCCTTTGTGGAGGCGCTGCGCAAGCGCGGCTTCGTGCTGCGCGGCGAGCGCGCCGAGGCCGTCGACATGTCGAACCGCATGTTCGTCAAGATGCACTTCATCAAGGGCGCCGCCCCGACCAAGGGCAAGGGCGTCAAGGCCGCGCAGGAGGCGGCGACCGCCGCGGGCGCAGGCATGGGGGCCAGGGGCAAGAAGAACTTTGCGCCCAAGTGGGATGAGGACCAGGACGACGAGGCCGAGGCGGATGCCAGCGAGGCTGCCATCTTGAAACCATGTGTCTACAAGATCCGGTGAGCCACGGAGGCTGTCTAGTCACATGTACTCCGTACAAGAGAGGATATCATCACCGAACGCTGCAGAGTGGCCAACAAGCGAAATGCAACCGGCATGTCAAACTTGACACGCCGAGCAACTCTTTTCATTATTCATCATTGATGCCCCAACCATCTACATTTCTCCCGCGTTGATCTGCCCAGCCAAAAGCATCTCCTCGGTCGCCATATTGCGCCTCGTCTTTTCCGTAATTTGACCTAAGAATAAAAGCTACCAAGCGTGCATCGTTGACATTATGACTTTCCCCTGGCCCAAGCCCCAGATGCTATGCAACCGAATGCTCCCGTGATGACTCCCGGCCCTGCCCGCGCTCAAAAGAAAATCAAACCGGCGGCAACGTCAACGTTGTCCTCGGCTGCCTGGAGCGCCTGGACGGCCTGCTCGCGTGTGGCGCCCATGGCCATCAGGCTGTCGACATGCGCAGGCGTGACGTTGGGCGCGGCCGCTGCAGGCACCTGCGCAGCTGGCGCTGGCGGCGTTGGCGTCGGCGCAGTAGGCTGCTGCTGTTGTTGCTGTTGCTGTGCCTCGCCGGGCGGCATGACTACGCCAGATCGCTGTCCGATCGAGGTGCCCGCAGGACCAGGTATCGTGGGCTCCTGGGCGGCGGCAGCCTCTTCGTCCTTTGGAATGTCGGCCTCTCCGAGGAAGGGCACCTCCTCGCCCTGGATGCAGAGCTTGTCCTTGGCCAGGTCGATGGTGGCCTGGTAACGCTTCAGCATGTCCAGGCCGAGCAGCAGATCCGTCGACTTGCCCTCCATAACGGTGAAGCTGCATGGCAGGTGCAGCTGTCCGATCTTGATCTGTGCAGAGTGGACGCGGCCGATGATGTTTGCCGTTCCCACGCCGCGGGCGACGCCGGCGAACCTCGTGTCAACGAGGCGCATGATGCCACATGCCTCGGCGCACGACGGAGAGATGATGGTTGCCTGCGCTCCGGAGTCGACGAAGGCCTTGACCTTGTGTCCGTTGACCTCGACGTTGATGTACAGCATGTGCACACGTCCAAACACTAGAATATGATCAGCAATGCTGTGCTGCATGCCCGTCACAAGCCACGATGAAGTGCGTGTTGCTTACCCTCGGGGTTGTGCTCCATGGCGTTTTGTAGGTTCTCCATGACCCGCTCTTGACGGATCATGTCTTCAATCTTCCTCTGGTTCTCGATGTTGAAGGGGTCATCGTTCAGGCGCTCAATCTCCCGCTGTCGCTCCAGGCGCTCTCGCCGCTCGCGGTCCTGCGCGTCTCGCAGGATGGCAGCGAAGCGTGCGGGGTCCTCGGCCGCGGCAGCCAGCTCGGGATGCTGCCTCTGCAGCTGCTGCCTCAGAGCGGGGTCGCCCAACACCTGGAGGCGAACCATCTCGGGGTCGTTGTCGCCGCCCTGCCGCGGTTGAGACTGCGGTTGCGCCGGTGCGGCCGCCGGCGGCCGGGCAGCCTGAGCTCGCTGAGCCTGGGCGGGGGCCGCGGCGGCGCGCGGCGGTCGTACGTGTACGGCCAGCATGTCTCCATCAGCAATCTGCAGCTCTTCCATGGTCTTGGAGTCGTCCGAGATGAGGCGGCCGTTGTGGTAGATCTGTTGCGAGGCGGGCGGGATGTTGGCATCGGCCTGGATGGACTCGCGCAGGGTGGAGATGGTCATGTCGGGGAAGATGTCGAGCGTCACCAGGTTGTCCTGGTTCGCAGCCTGCGGGTTGTATATGCTGAGCGTGATGCGCCTGGGGAGAAGTCGGGTCAGCGTCTCGGCCTGACGGGGCGGTTGCGAGGTCACAGCGGCTTACATGGTGGCGGGCGGCAGCTGTCCAGCGGACGCCTTGTATCGTGTATCTGTGAAAGACGATGGTGACAAGAGGTCTGATGGAGGCGGTATCTGGGACGACGGGGCAGCTCCTCCGATGGCGATGAGCGGCGTACGGTAGGGTTGGGAGAAGAGAAGCGGGATGCGAGGGAAGGAAGAGGTGAGGATGGATGGAGGTTTGAGAGTCCAGGTTGGTAAGACAGGTTTCCACGGGCAGCTACCCGCACTGTTCAGGGCCGTGCACGCCGGTAGTGTTGGCTGAGGTATGGACGGCACTGATGGAAGGCTGCCCAGTGGCCTTCCAGGTTCCTCTCAGGCGGCGTTTTACAGTGGAGGTGCCTGGTGAGGCTGGGACGAAAGAGGGGCGCTGAGGGGTCACCGGGTGCTGCGAGGGGCACCAAACAGCCGCCCCGGAGGCGGTGACGACACCGCGTGGCAACCTGCCCGCCGACTGGACCAGATGGAGCTTCTTGGGGGCCCGCCACTGGAGCGGGTGGAAAGGCGTGGACGGAACCGGAACCCCCCCTGGCCGTCCGATACAGTACCTAATTTGTCAGGCCTACCGCCTCAACCCCAACTTACACCGTTTCTTCCATCCCGGCCACGTTCAATATTCATCACGATGCCGCCACATCACTGACTCGCAACGCGATGCTGCAACTAAAATTCCACAGCTACTGTTTTCTTGGTCTGCTTCGCCTGCCGGTTTCTCGTTCGCCTCGAGACCTTCCCGGCGTTAGAGGAACCATGGCCTGTGGCGGCCCTCGTCAAAACGCGACGCTCCGGACATAGGCCTTGAACCACAAGTGCCACGCCGCGGCCCTGTCAATGAGTATGCGGGCGTCCTCGACCTGGAACGACGCGGTGTGTATGATTGCGCCCGCCTCGGCCCGTTGGTCCGCCGGGACATCCGGGAGGAGACTGTCCTGCTCGGCCAGCTTCATGTCGGCGAACTCGAGCAGCCTCCTGGCCTCGGCCCTGCTGTTGCGTAGCCTCGCGGCCATTCCGATATTCACTCTTTCGGGATTCGATCTCGCCATGGCCGAGAACCGCGCCGTCATGTCCCCGATCGCCGTCGCCGCCTCGTCCAGCGCCTCCACGGCCCGCGCCGTCTGCGCGTCCGCCGCTATGAAAGGCCCATAGGTTACCACTCCGGCCACGGCCACGCCCGCCACGACGGCGCCCAGCACCACGAGCTGCCAGCCGCCGTCGTCCGTCTCCTCCGCCCGCACCGTAAGCTCCGTCACGTTGATGCGCCGGTCCTTGAGGGGTTTCTTGAGCTCGTCGAGGACCTTTGCTCTCGACTGTTTTGCGGCTTCGTAGGCCTCGACGGCCGTCGTTGCCGCCGCGCTGAGATCCTCGAGTGTCCTCTGCAGCTTCCTGGTATACGGGCCCTGGTGATCCGTTCGCGTGTCCAGTACGTCGGGGAGGGCTTTGGTGATGAGTCCGCTTCTCTGGAAGTTTGGGCTTTGAGCCGTCTTGCGAGCGATTCGGAGCTGCACCCACGCGCCGCTCGAGGAGGCGACACAGGCGTGGATGCCCGCTACCAGTCCTGCGTTTGGTGGGCTTTCCTTGTTGGCCTTGAGCCCGGCAACATAATCTTTGTAGCAGGCGGTGCCACGGATAGCTGCTTCGACCACGGCCATGATCTGCAGGCTATATGTCCTCAAGAGGTCGTCTGCGGTGTCGTCACGCTGTCCCGCGGCGGATGTGCTTGAGGCGTCTTTGATGAAACACATGATGAGCAGCGGGACAATGACGGGGAGGAGCATCGTGTTTGCGAGGTTCGGTGCGACTGCGTCCTGTTGTTGATGGCTCTTGTAAACCCGTTGGATCACATCGCTCAGTGACGTGAAGCTGAAAGCCTAGCAACCCGCTGCAGAATTATGTGGCTTGGAAAGAAAAGCAAGCTGGTTACAGGCTGTCGCGTCTTCCTTTGGCCCTTTTGAGCCGAGCAGCTTCCCGCTGCCGCGGTAGGCTATATCGCGTGTTATAAGCCCCGATATATATGTATAAAGTGATCGAGGCCATTTGAGGGTTTCATAGAGCCCGATAACGCCATGCCGGGAACTCCGAGGGCATTCTGGCCCTGCTTGTACAAGCGATAGGCCCTTTTCGAGGGGGCATTGACATTTACAGACGCGAGACTGAACCTTGATACTAAGAGCCATCGGATGCCTGAATTCGGATGCCTGGGTGCGAGCAGGTAAGCTGGACCAGGCACTCGCTCACTTTGTCGGGCGAAACGCCTTGCTTCCGGCTTTGCCGCCGAGATTTTATGATGTCCCAAACGGTGATGGTCCTTGAGAACAACGCCGGCCAAGAGGCCGGGAGAGGATGCAAATTGCCTCGGTAGTCCTTGAGCTGGGACAGCACCTGCAAATGCAATTAAACTTTGCGGGAAATTCTCCCAAAGGACACTGCTCTGCAGTTCTTGTGTTGCCATGGCTATGCTCCTGCTCCTCTCATCCCACATTGATGGGGAACGCGCACCATCAACTTGGGCAAGCCCTCGTCCCGCGAAGATGCTACCGAGGCATCGATTCGGCTCTTGTCATGACATTTGTCTCTGGACCGCTTTCACTATTTGCTCTTGCCAGGCCACGTTCCAACCCAGTGGTAGAACAGCAGGGAGAGTTCGCTGGTCTAGGCCACAGGGACAGCCATGCTTAACGAGCAACCAGGATATACGGCAAAGGCACCACGCCTCTTCGACTATGCGCCGCAGCGAGCAATGGCGGCTAGCCCTGCGGCTTCTTCCCCGTCCCCGGCAGGCCGAGCGAGGACCCCTCCAGGTCCTGCCCACGGTCGGCGTGTAAGTGGGCGCGCTTTATCCCCGGGGCGCTCGTCACCGTCCGTCCGTCCGTCTGCCATTTGAACTCCGCAGCCCCGAAATCCTGCTCGATCATGATGCTATTAGTCAGGGGGAGGGGGAGACGTGAACTCTCCCGCCGGCGACCCAGCCGCGAAGAATAATTGATACGTAGTAGGCGGACGTTGACAGCGGGACAAGTCCATGACGTCGACGGTTGCAATACCAACAGCACAATGTCCGAAATGTGTTTCGGCGTTGGTGGTCGAGGGCGGCCTTAAGATGGGGCTAGGAGTTAAGCAGACCGCAACGGAGCGCTTGTGCCCATCGAACGGCGGACTTTGGGGTATTGGGGTGCCCCCCTCTGTTAGCCCACCGGGCGCCAGGGGAATAGCCGGTACTTGTTACAGTCCTTGCGGTGGGTTGGAGCGATCAATCTGCGTCGGCCATGGCTTTTAGAGTTTATCAGGACCCGACGCCATCGGGGTGGGGCCGAAACAGCCGCCGCGACAAAGTCCGCCCTCGATCCGCTCGTCATCTAACTAATCATGACGCTCATGGAGATATCTGGAGATAATGGCTGTTTGCTGGTAGCAGTGGCATGGCATCTGCTTGGCGGAAAGAGAAGGGTAGCTCGCGGCTGGGTATATATGAAGAAGTGTTCCGTAGAATCTTATAGAGTCGCGACTTACATTGTATAACATCTCATCCGGCTCTCTTATACGCATCACCACTAAACACCACAGAACCCGGAAACACCAGAGTAAAAAGCACAGTACCACACACACCGTCATCACCATCATGGCAGAAGCTATCTTCGGCGCGGCCCCGGAGCCCAAGACGGAGCTCGGGCGGTACCGCATCCTGTCGTCCTCGGCGGGCATCCGCGTGTCGCCGCTCCAGCTGGGCGCCATGTCCGTGGGCGACGCCTGGTCCAGCTTCATGGGCTCCATGTCCAAGGAGCAGTCGTTCAAGCTGCTCGACCACTTCGCGGCCGCGGGCGGCAACTTCATCGACACGGCCAACAACTACCAGGCGGAGCAGTCGGAGGCGTGGCTCGGCGAGTGGATGGCGGCGCGCAAGAACCGCGACCAGATGGTCGTCGCGACAAAGTACACGACCGACTACAAGTCGTACGCGCTGGGCAAGGGCCGCGCGCCCAACCACTGCGGCAACTCGCGCCGCAGCATGCACGTCAGCGTGCGCGACTCGCTGCGCAAGCTGCAGACGGACTGGATCGACATCCTCTACGTCCACTGGTGGGACTTCACCACGTCGGTGCGCGAGATCATGGACGCCCTGCACATTCTCGTCCAGCAGGGCAAGGTGCTGTACCTGGGCGCCTCGGACACGCCCGCCTGGGTCGTGAGCGCCGCCAACGAGTACGCCCTCGCGCACGGCAAGACGCCCTTCAGCATCTACCAGGGCCGCTGGAACGTCATGAAGCGCGACTTTGAGCGCGAGATCATCCCCCTGGCGCGCCACTACGGCATGGCCCTCGCGCCCTGGGACGTCCTCGGCGGCGGCAAGTTCCAGACCAAGAAGGCCATCGAGGAGCGCAAGAAGAAGGGCGAGGGCCTGCGGTCCATCTTCACGGGCGACCAGAGCGAGGAGGAGAGGCGCGTGAGCGAGGCGCTCGAAAAGGTCGCCCAGGAGCACGGCGTCGAGTCCATCACGGCCATTGCGCTCGCGTACGTGAGGGCCAAGGCGCACAACGTGTTTCCCCTGGTCGGCGGCCGCAAGACGGAGCACTTGGACGACAACATCCGCGCCCTGAGCATCAAGTTGACGCCGGAGCAGGTCGACTTCCTGGAGGGCGTGACCAACTTTGACATTGGCTTCCCCAACGACTTTATTGGGCCGGATCCCCATGTGACGGGCAAGTTTACCGGGTTGGCGGCTGCCAATGCGCCGCTGCAGGTAGAGCTGGATTCGAAGCCTGTAGGCTTGGCTTGATGACACTACATCTGTACGAATATTGTATAATATATGGTTTTGAGGCTCTGTGTTTCATTGTCGGTAATCTCTCGTGCGGCGCATCGAGAGAACTGTCGTAGAAATGTCAGGCCGAGCGGCGTTTTATCGGCCCAAGTCCAGTCTCCGGCACGACTTGTTGCGGGCGTGTCTGAGACGACTGTTCCGGTGGATTGTCGAGATACTCGCTTCTGCTCCAAGTGTCATTGCATCGTCCGCGGTGACGGTGCACTCCATCTCACACACCCACCACGTTTCATGCGACGAAACGAACCTGACGGAATGTTCCCGACGAAACGTAACTGACCATACAGTCGTACGCGACGCCAACACACATACCTCACGCAGCCGTCTCTAGTCTATTCGGAAACGGCGCGACCCTCAAGTGGCCTTGGGCAGTCGTGGGAAGTCATGGTTCTTTGACCTCGCTCGGCTTCTCCTACGTAGTCTCCCACGGTACGGCTATTTACCCGCCCTTGGCTATTTTTTTTCTATTTACAGTGACATGCAACCCCCTCAGTCCGTCGCCTTGTACTTGCGGCGGTACTCCTCGGTGCGCTGCACGTCCTCGGGCGTCGCGAAGCCCTGCATGCCGGCAATGATGTCGTCGAGGGTCAGGATGGCGAAGATGGGGATGCCGTACTCCTTGCGCAGCTCGCCAATGGCGCTCGGGCCGGGCTTGGAGTCGTCGCCGTCAGCGGCGGGGAGCTTCTCCATGCGGTCCAGGGCCACGACGATGCCGGCAACGATGCCGCCCTCCTTGCGGATCTTGTCGATGGCGTCGCGCTTGGCGGTACCCGCGGTGATGACGTCGTCGACGATGAGCACGCGCTTGCCCTTGAGGGGGGCGCCGACAATGTTGCCGCCCTCGCCGTGGTCCTTGGCCTCCTTGCGGTCAAACGAGTACGAGATGCGGTCGAGGTTCTGGGGCGCCTGCTCGCCGATCTTGATGGTGATGGCCGAGCACAGAGGGATGCCCTTGTAGGCGGGGCCGAAGACAATGTCAAAGTCGAGGCCCTCCTTTTGCTGCGCGTCGATGATGGTCTGCGCAAAGGCGGAGGAGATGGCCCCGGCGAGGCGCGCGGTGTGGAACTCGCCCGCGTTGAAGAAGTAGGGCGATATCCGCTTCGACTTGAGCTCGAAGCTGCCGAACTTGAGGACGCCGCCGTCGATGGCGGCCTTGAGGAAGTCCTGCTTGTAGGTGGGGAGTTGGGAGGCCATTTTGGTGCGAGTTGATGGTGTTGTGGAGAGCGACGGAGGCGCAGGACAAGAGGCGTTCAAGTCTCGGCGGGTTGATGGAGGAGATGAAAGAAAGATTCGCACGGGGTGAAGATGGTCGTGAAGGCGGGCGTCCTTGAATTTCAAGTTTTTGGCGGGGTCGTCGCCGACTTTCTCGAAGGCAGGCGGGGCAAGCAAGGCGGGCCAGGGACCTTTTCGCCCACGGCAGGCCCTGCGTCTCGGAATGCTTGGTGCACAAAGTATCATGCCCACCAAACTGCGCCGACGCGGTACTTCCTCCCTCCAGGGTCCCGCTGCCGCCTTATCGATAGCCCGGCTTCCCCCCTCCCCATTCGCCGCCGCGCGCGACTCCACACTTTTTCGCTGTGCAGAAAAAAAAAATTGATTGACCGCCTTGGCCAAATTCAGTCCGCTGCCGCCCGCCCGCTCGCCGCCCATTATCGCAAGGCGCCCCGACTGTGTCCGTCCTCTCAACAACCTACACGCGGGCTGCTCGTCGTGACTTGTCCCTTCATCGCAACGCACGCAGGCACATATCCCGTCCGAAGCCCAAGATGAAGACGACGTGGAAGGACATCCCCCCGGTGCCGACTCAGCAGGAGTTCCTCGACATCGTGCTGAGCCGCACCCAGCGCAAGCTGCCCACCCAGATCCGCGCCGGCTTCAAAATCAGCAGAATTCGAGGTGCGCAACATTGGCCCCCATGCCTCGCGCTCTCACTCCCCTCCCCTCTTTAACGCAAGCCGTCGGCTGACACAGGCCTCTCGCAGCCTTCTACACCCGCAAGGTCAAGTTCACCCAGGAGACCTTCTCCGAGAAGCTGGGCGCCATCCTCGAGACCTTCCCCCGTCTCCAGGACATCCACCCTTTCCACAAGGACCTGCTCAACACCCTCTACGATGCCGACCACTTCCGCATCGCCCTCGGCCAGCTGTCGACCGCCAAGCACCTGATCGAGACCATCTCCCGCGACTACGTCCGCCTCCTCAAGTACGGCCAGTCGCTCTTCCAATGCAAGCAGCTCAAGAAGGCCGGCCTGGGCCGCATGGCCACCATCGTCAAGCGCCTTAAAGACCCGCTGCTGTATCTCGACCAGGTTCGCCAGCATCTCGGCCGTCTGCCCTCCATCGACCCCAACACCCGCACCCTGCTCATCTGCGGCTACCCCAATGTCGGCAAGTCGAGCTTCCTGCGCAGCATCACCCGCGCCGACGTCGATGTCCAGCCCTATGCCTTCACAACCAAGTCCTTGTTCGTCGGCCACTTCGACTACAAGTACCTGCGCTTCCAGGCCATCGATACCCCCGGTATCCTGGACCACCCTCTCGAGGAGATGAACACCATCGAGATGCAGAGTATCACTGCCATTGCCCACTTGCGATCAGCCATCCTCTACTTCATGGATCTGTCCGAGCAGTGCGGCTACACGGTGCAGGCCCAGATTCAGCTCTTCCGGAGTATCAAGCCCCTTTTCTCCAACAAGCTCGTCTTCCTCGTCGTCAACAAGATCGACGTCACCCGTCCCGAGGACCTGAGCCCCGACGTCCAGGCGGAGCTGCAAACTCTCCTCAAGTCCGGCGAGGTGGAGATGCTCCAGCTCTCTTGCAACACGCAGGAGGGTGTCCAAGACGTCAAGAATGCCGCCTGCGAGCGTCTCATCGCCGACCGAGTCAACCAGAAGCTCAAGGCCGGCACGTCTAACAGCGGCGAGGTCGGCGGCCGTCTGGCCGACGTCATGGCCCGCATCCACGTCGCCCAGCCCATGGGCGGCAAGACCCTCGAGACATTCATCCCGGAGGGCATCAAGACGATGAAGAAGTACAGCAAGGAGGACCCCGAGCGCCGGAGGCTGGCCAGGGATGTCCAGGACGAGAACGGCGGCGCTGGTGTCTACAACGTCGATATGCGCGCCGACTACATGCTCAAGAACGACGAGTGGAAGTACGACAAGATCCCCGAGATCTTCGACGGCCAGAACGTCTACGACTTCATCGACCCGGATATCGAGGCCAAGCTCCAGGCGCTGGAAGAGGAGGAGGAGAAGCTCGAGCAAGAGGGCTACTACGACTCCGACGAGGAGATTGACGATGACGAGGAGGCCGAGGTCATGCAAAAGGCCGAGATTATCCGCGAGAAGCAGGAGCTGATCCGCAACGAGGCCCGCATGAAGAAGAGGCTCAAGAACCAGGCCATCATCCCCCGCAAGGCCATGAAGAAGAACTACTCGGAGCTCGAGGACGCCCTCGACCAGCTCGGCGTGGACACGACCAACCTGGCCGACCGCGCGCAGCCCCGGGCCCGCAGCCGCGGCCGCTCCATGACGCGCAGCCGGCTGGGCACCGAGGACGGCATGGACGTCGACTCCACGCCCCGCGACCGCGTGCGCTCCATGAGCCGCGCCCCCACCACGAACCGCCGCGAGGACGGTGTCCAGGACGAGGCGTCGCGGACAAAGGCCGAGCGCCTGGCCAAGCTCCACCAGAAGAAGAGGAACCGCATGGCCAGACAGGGCGAGGCCGACAGGCATCAGACCGCCTCCATCACCAAGCACTTGGTAAGCTTTCCCCCTCTTTCCCCTTTCCCTCCCAAGGGCAACCAACCATGCGATGTTCAAATGCTTACGATGGCATCAGTTTTCTGGCAAGCGTGGCATGGGCAAGACCCAGAGGCGATAGACGAAGACCGTGGTGTTCTGTTGGGCTACTTGTTCTGTTCTTTTTCTGTCCAAAAAGCGGCATCTATGCAATCGCCCAATCTCTCAGTTATTCATACCCATTACTATTGATGGGTTGGGAGACAGTTGCCAAAATAGGCCAAGGTCGCATCTTTCGTCTGGGGGAATCATCATACTTGTGTTTCGTCGTCTTCCATCGTCACTGGCTGCGGGAGTTGGGGCGCACGCGGTTGCTGCATGGTTCATTTCGGGACTACTGGGGGAGGGGGCGCGGGCCTTGAGACATGTCGATAAAAGAGGGCATGTCGAGCGAGGCGCGCAAGACTCATGCCGCTGGGGTAGAGAACAGGCGGGGGGAGGAATCGTGCGACATCTTAGACGTCGAGCATCTTGAGCGTGGAAAATGGACAATTTCTACCCTAGCTAGTCACTAGTAGTAAAAGAACGACCGTCATGACGCCTGGTTGTCTGTCTGGCAAATGTTTATATTTCTTGTCAATGTGCTGAACAGCTACGCAACCTATAAAACAACTCGTCTTCCTCCCCAGCCCGCTCTCAAGGTTTCTCCCGTTTTGCTTCTTTCGAATGCGTTTACTCTTCCGTAATACCGGCGACAGCCTTGAGTGTAACATGTCCATCTGCGCTGTGTAACAGACATCTTCATCGCATCCCCCGCCCCGCCTATTGCTCGTCGGCGACGGTGAGGCCGTCCCTGAGACCCTCGACCTTGAGCTCCTCGCCGGTGCAGCGGCGGTAGATGTCCTTGACATCGTCGGTCGTCGTCTCGAAGTGGCTGGTGGCGTCGTAGCTCTTGGAGATGAAGATGTTGTCCTTGGTGCCGTCCTGGAGAGGCTCGGAGATGGGGATCGGCGGGCCCTGTTACAGCTCGTGTGAGTAGATGTCTCGACGTCTTCACGCAGGAGTGGCGTCACTGACGACGCAGAGTGACCTACCATGAACTGTTCCTCAATCTTGCCGAGGCGGTCCAGCCCGGGCTGGAGCTCGAGGTGGTGGTTGGCCGACGACTCGGCAATGGTCGACACAATGGCGATCCAGTAGCCCTTGGGGCAGACGTTGTGGGCGGACGAGACGCAGGCAATGTAAATGTCTGGAGCCGAGTCAGTATCACAGGTAGAATGCAGCTCGAGGAATTATGATGGCTTACCATTCTTGCGGCCGACCTGCGACTGGGGGATGATGAGCTGGCAAGAGTCGCTGTCGTTGGTGCCAGCAAGGGGGTGCTTGAGGATGCAGATGGCGCGGAGGACGTGGCCGACAACCTTGGTCTTGCCGGGGAAGTACGAAGGGTCGCCGAGGATCATCTTGGCCCTCGTCTCAAACTTCATCTCCTCGACGCCGGACATGGTAGCCTTGATGCCCACCGCCTTGTCGCCCTCGTACAGGAACTCGTCGACGGTGGTGTTGAGCATGTAGGTGCCGCCGTAGATGGCGGACAGGCGGGCGAAGCCCTGGGGCAGCTCGCCGAGGCCGTAGAGCGGGTAGATGTAAGGCGACTTGCCGTACCGGGCGACAGAGTTGCCATAGAGGCGGACGCGCTCGATGACCTCGGGAGCTTGGCCCTTGGTCGTGATGTGATCGTCGGTGAGGTACAGACCCATGGCGTGGCCGATGAAGTCGCGGGTACCGGTCTCGAGGCCGAACTTATCGTAGACCTCCTTCATGCTGCAGGTGTTCATGTCGAGACCTAGGTCATGCGTTAGCCAGCGCCGGTGGCAAACGAATGGCAGGGTCCTCGGAACATACCCTTGTGAGTGGCCGGGTCCTTGAGGTCGAAGGTGCCAACCCACTCGATGAAGGACTTCATACGTCGTTTCTCAAAGATGCCCATGAGCGGGGACTTGAGGGCTTCGCCGGCGTCGGAGGGAACCTTGGCGACGGTGGCCTTGGGGCCGGAGCCTTGCTGGACGTAGCTGCCAGCGACCTGCTTGAACTCGAGATATCGCGTGACATCGGTGGAGACGAGGATGTTGGTCAGCTCGCCCGAGGACATGAGGAACTTGGGGACGAGGTCGATGTTCCAGTCGTTGAGGCGGCCGTATTGCTTCCAGGGCTCCTCGCCCTTCTGGTAGTTGCCATACTTTTTGAAGAGCTGCAGCAGGTGGATGGTGTCAGTCGATGCTCTCGGGGAGGAAAAGGGGGGCATGTGGGCATGTTGCCGTTCGCAGGTTGGGGGAGTCTAACCGCCTCGAGGTTCACGGACGCGGCTTCACTGTGGTATGGGACAAGATGTCAGCAACGATGACATGAAGCAGATCAGAAGCATCATGGTAGTGAGGACGTACCCGCCATAGTGGTCGTTGCGGTCGATGTGAAGAACCTTCTTGCCCTTGACGGACAGGACACTGGAGGCAGAAAGGCGGTGTTAGCCAAGCGAGGACAGGGGTCGGGGCCATCGGGGTCGGCGCAGTCGTTCGTCGCATACCCAGAGAGAATGCACTCGGTCAAACCTGGAGAGAGAGAGGGATACGGCGTCAGCAAACGTCGAGCAGAGGCAGGGCACGGCGGCGGGCGAGCACAGAGCCCCCTTGGTGGCCGTGCCCTCGGCTGGCGAGGACGAGGACGAGGGACTCACCGGTGCCGACGACCAAGACGTCGTACTCCTTGGCAATCTCATCCATGTTGCGCGGTGAGGTATCGAATCGTGTCGGCTAGGGAAGAGAAGAGCGAGTATTTCGACAGAGGAGAAAAGAACCACGAGCAACAGATGGGAGGCGTGCGGCTTTGGTCCGGTCTTGTGGTTGATGGGAAGCTGTTTTGGCGGGCCAGCCCAGCTGGAGGGGTTGATGAAGCGGCGGGGTTTTGGGCCGGTCATGGTGTCGGTGAGGTGTGGGGAACTCGCCCTTAGCATTACCTGACGTTGACCGCGCCGTGAGGTAGCTACGGGCAGCACACCCACTGTACCAGTTGCTGCCACCGCTGGGGCTGCCCGGGGAGCTGGAGATGGGCGGGCCAGCCAGCCAGCTAATAGTGAGATGAGCTAAGCCCGGCAAGGCCCTCTCCTCCCCCCAAAGCCCGCCAACGACCACCGCTCGCAACGGCAATGGGGGGCGTTTCGTCCCAGGGCCGAGATTGCAGTCATTTCTGCTTGCGCGAGATGCGACATTGACTTCATTTTGCTACAGTGTCGGAAAGATTTCGTGCAGGGCACCCCGGCGAGGCCCCCTTTCATCTTCAGATTTGAGAAAAAGAGTCCGTGCTACAGACGAGGATGGAGCTTCGTCGCCGTGGCCGTGGCACGTAGCCCGTGCACCGCATGGACGACCCCAACCCCCGACGACGATATCTTCATGCGACTCTTCGTGAGCTCAAGCATATGCCAAAGAGCGGTACAGTATCGTGCAAGCGCGAATTGGTTTGGTAGTATTTTCCAAAATGGTCCTCCATACGAAGCATGCTGTCTAGCTTCGGCAGGCGGTCCTGTATCGTACATATTCTCCTCTGATACCTTATGCCTTATACATGTACATGTACAGCACGACACCTTTGTCGTCTTCGTCGTCGTTGTGTCGTCGCGAATTCAAACACCCTCCACCATGCGACATCCAGGTACGGTGGCTGTCCAGGCTCTCCACGACCCGGGCCTTCGCACTTGTCCGGCCTACCGGGTTGCCTCCTTTTGCAGCTTTCCAGCCTCGGCTGCCGCTGCCTGACTATCCGCCTCCGCCGCCCAACTCTCCGACGCCTCCAGGTCGTCCTCGTACGCCGACGGCTTGTACACCTGCCCATCGCGGGACTCAAAGTCGATCTCCGGGTCCGACCGGGCCACGTCCACGGCGTCCTGCCACGTGTAGTATCGCTCCGTCAAGGCATGCTTGATGGCTCGCATCGTCTTTTGTACCTGTAGACAATCACCTGCAGTCAGCACATGCTGGCTTCCGTTCCATCGGGTGCTTGAGGTGATCTCACCTCCTCGTCGCGCATCTCGATTTCCCTCTCGCCAAAGCCCAGCTTCCCCCTCGACAACTCAACTTTGGACGTCGCCAGCATGTTGCGCTCCTTGCAGCATACCCACCACAGGGCGTGCAGGTCCTCCCACGACTTCCTACGCAGCTCCTCGACCGACCAGGCCCGGCCGTGTTCCTCCGTCTCCTTGGGCGTCCACAGCGCCTTGCCAGGAGCCGGGAAGAAGCCCCACAGGCCGTGGTTCTCGTCGACGGCAATTTTGGGCTTGAAGTCGCGCGGTTTCGGCAGCGGCACGTCCGACATTGACAGGTGCTCGCGGGGGCCCGAGCCGTACAGGCTACTGACGCCGCGCTTCTTGTTGTTGTCTTTCGTCTTCCGCTTGCATTGCGGCGCCGTCGTCGAGAAGGCTGCTATTCTTGACGCCGAGGAGGTCGTTGTAGAGCGGGCGCGAGGGGCTCCCAGCCTTGAGAGGCAGCCCATGGAGGGCCGCAGGGCAGTTGAACCAGCCATTGATAGGGTTCCGTGTGCGCAGCAGCACGTTGATGTCGCGACTGGACGAGCTGGGAAGAGGAAGACGAATCGACACAAAATTTGGGAGTGCAGTTGGCCTTGCTACCTCTGATTGGCTGTCTGCTCGATGCCTTCTGGCTCCACACCAGACCACAGCGTGTTAGTCAGCCAATCATCTTACCTACCCTAGACCATGACCTTACTCTCCGACGACACGACGACTTGTCGAGCATCAGCCGATGAGTAGGTGTATCAACAAGATTATGATAATCTCGGGCGAAGAGTTCAGAGAGATGGCCATCGTAACCAAGCACCAGCGCTGTCTCAATGGGGCGACCGACCTCGAGCGACCATGTAAATCAGTAAGCCAGATAGGAAGTTCACGCAATTCGGTCTCTAGTCCAACACCAAGGGCGGATAACATGAATGGGATCACACTAGAAATAAACATTCCCACTCGAGTAAAGAGGACTTCCAAATTATGTTGGTTACGCCTGGGCTATTTCTTGATGGCCCCAATTGTAGACCTCTGCTCTTCCCCGTCGGACAATATGCCGAAAGCTGACCACGTAGCCATGCCACTCTTCAACACAACGGATACCTGAACAGACCTGCGCTGGTCGAGAGAGTCTGTCTCGCAATACAAGACGTGACTCAGAGTTCCGATTATACATGGGCCACAAGATGCGACCTGAGTCGACCACGCAGGAGAACCAAATACGCATATTGCTCGTGCTGGCAGGGGCAATGGCCATTGCAGGCAACAAGGATACTCTGATCGGAGTCAGTGGGAGTATTTCGCCCTTTCACTTAGCAAGATCGTTAAAATGAAGGAGAACAATAAGCTTTGGGCCTTACGTTCAGCCTCAAGTGTTTCGCCGCCTCGGTAAAGCGAATTCTTGAGTCTCAATTCCGATGGCAAATGGCCCCCATACGTTTCGTGCCGTCCCGAGTTTGGACGCAGCCTCGCGTGGCGGCACAGCAATGTCTGCTGTCAGGTTTCTCAGCATGAAGACCGACCACTGATATATAGCTGATTCTCATCCGGTCTCGCCGTCGTAACGACAACGGCGCATGGTTCACGGGCTGCGCTGCAAAGTCCTCGTGCTGCCATCAGCCATCAGCCATCCTGTCATTCGAACGGCGTAACTCTCTCCATGGCTACGGTCTTGTCATTGAGGTTTCTCCGGGGTCTCGCGGTAATTACCAACCATTGTTGCACGCCGCACGAGCAGCGAGCGACAAGTGTTCATCCACGTTACTCTGAACATTGGCTCGAAGTTCTGTGAGGGTACCAGGCACCACTTCGTACGAGTTATCTCGCTCTGCAATGATAAGTGCTATCTCATACAGTCCATTGCGAAAATCACTTCTGCACCTGCCGCGCGTCTTCTTTCATGTGTTACACAACACGAGGCCGCTGTCCGCTGCAGGAAAACGGCCTTGCCTCCCGCGCATGCCCCCTTGCCCCAGCCCGGCCTCAACTACGACCCAGCCGTCTGCGCATAGAGAGCCTTTTCCGCAACGCGCAGACGTGATGGCCAGATTCCGACGTCAGAGAGAGACACACGCCGTGACGTCCGGTGGGCCCGGGGCCCGTCTTCAGGCACCAGACGGTGGGCCAGCAGCCTTCACAGGGCGGCTGCAAAACCGACGCTGTCCCTGTCCATCAGGCGCTGCTCGCGTGGTGTATGACTCTATAGAGGACGATGCAGATGTGACAGGGCTGTTGGGGAGTTGGGTAGACGTGAACCACTGCGAAGTACGTAGCATGGCGAGCTGGCATGAAATCTCAGAAGAGGCACGGCGGGGAAACGAGTCGTCAACGTCCTGTGTTAGCGGGACCGCTTGGCAACACGCGTGGTCCCCGGTGGTCTAGAGATGGTAGGGCTTCATGGACGATGCCCAGCCCGGTCGTCGAAGAAACGGGAGGATCTGCAGGCATCTGATTCAGCCCTGTTGAGCCTACATGCACGTCGCGGCACAGTCGTGTGAGGAACACTCGCCCCGAGGCCAGCCCAGGCTCTCTCTGTCTCTCACTCTCTCCCCCATCACCTCCCCACTCCATGGCGAAGGTCTCAGACGCGCTCGCCGGGCCGTGTACGCTGTGAATCCCACGATAGAGGACACAAGCCAGGGCAAGGGGGCACGACAGACGCTGGGCTTGATTTGGCCGAGGGCATCTCCAACTCGAGGAGCTGCCCGACAGCACCACCACCGACCGCCATCCCCGAGTCAACGCGCGTCGACCCATCCGGGCAGTTGTCTCCGCGCGGCGGGCCCTCCCGCGCGAGGGGGCCGGACCCGTCTACAAGCAAGTCCTTACGCTTCCTTCTTTCGTGATTCTCCGTCGGTGAGGCAGAAATGGGCGCCCGAGGGTGTGTTTGTACGTACGTAGTATGTACGTGCGTACTCTACTCGTGCAAGTTGGCCGACGGAGGTCGGTTCATGGCCACCCTTCTCCACGTACGTCGACGCGCCGAGCCGCCGTGATGCTACCATCCTGAGAGACAGACCCGGCAGCAATCCCCTGCTCCTCCTGAACAAGATCATCGTGGCACTGGGCGGCACGTCAACGCAACGGCACCGTTCATCCCTCGCCGTGTCGTCGCCCACCCTGCCGACAGGAGTACAAACATCGACAGAGGGTTACTGTTGCGGCCCAGCTCTCTCCTGGACTATTGACAGAGGTCCACGCAGCCCTTGCGCGAGCCGCGCCGCCGGGCGCGTGGATCTTGCCCACGGAAGCGAGCCCCCAGCCCTTCAACGACTCCATCGTGAACCCACAACCGGGCCGCTTCACCGCTGCTGGACCAGGGGAGGGGCGGAGGGGAACAACAGATCCTCGAAGGATGCGGCGGGCAAGGCAAGGGTCCAATGCCCACCGTGTCTGTCTGGTGGAACCTCAACTCGCCCAGGGACCACCACCGGTGCCCATGCCAGGTCGTCCGTCGACGGGTTGTTTCTCACTTTCTCTCTGGGCTGGCATACCGTCACCGTCACAGCTCGCCACCAAGCCCTTGTCGCACACACGCCCCTCGGCTACATTGGTATGTATATATTATCTGCGTATGTATGTAAGTGTGTTTGTTATGAATGTCCCCGTCTCCACCGTCCTCGGCGGCTCTTCAACACCTCTCACGAAAGAACGGATGGGTGTACTGAACGGACGGACGGACGGACCTTGCCGCTTCCCTTCACCCGCGTACGCTCGCTGGGAACCTCTCGCGACAAAGGCTCCTTTCCTGAGTCGAGAGGGCTCGGCGCCCACGCGATGCGACTCATCGGTGCTTCCATGCATGCACGCGCGCTGCCAGCCTTCAATTCCTGCGCGTGCACGCGCACGTTCGCGAGGTCGAGCACGAGTACAGGTACACGTACGAAGCACAGTATAGGCGTGCGGATGGATGGATGTAGTATGTGCAAATAAGCATAGTACTTCGTACTGCCTATGTAGATGTTTCTACGCATGGCATCCTCGCCGCGGCAGACGGAGCCAAGGCAAGCCCATCCATCCATCTACGAAAACGGGGGCACGGGCTCGCGCAGCAGCATGGACAAGTATTTTGCCCCTGCGCCGTGGCAGCTGAAGCGCTCTGGTCAATGCTCGCGAGGCCTCATCCTCCTCCTGCCTCCGCTCGTCGTCGTCGTCCACCCCCACAGAAGGAGTCTGGAATCTCTCCCTCCCGTCTCTTGTCAAGCGCGTTGCGGGCCCGTCCGGTGCTGCTACTGCTGCTGCTGCTGCTGCCCTCTTTCATCTACCTACAAGATGATGTAGCTAACAACGCATGCATCCTCCAGGTTGCGGGCATGCAGCAGCCGGTGCCAGGCAGCCGGCCATTCCCATAATACAAAATACTACGATACGCATTGGGCCGGAGCTCCTGGGCCGCTGCCGCCGCCGCCACCGGCAAATGGACCAGACGGTGTCGTGTGACGCGAAGGATTTTCTTTCCCGTTATGCTTCTTGTTTTGCCCTCTTCTCTCGCCGACGTCCCTGCCCTGTGCGTGTCTCTCTCTCTCTATCTCTCTGCGTGTGACATGCCCCTTGTGCCCTTGCGCCGGCCTGCCCGCGCGCGCGCGGATGACGAGGGGGCGTGTCGCACAAGGGGACGATTGAAAGTTTTTTTGGCTGCAGAGTGATGAGAGCCTCCTGGTCCGCGACGACGATAGCGGCGGCGGCAGGCAGGCAGGCAGATGAAGGTCACGCAGGCGGAGATTATCGAGCGTCCCTCCCCCGGCGGCATTTACCGAACTGGGCGGCGGGCGGGACGAGAGATTTGTCGCTTCTCGCTTGTGGCGAGTGCTTCATCTCTTGTACCATTCGTGCATGTACGGCTGGCCTGCGCCTGCGCCAAGTGAATGAATGCCCTCGCGCATGCGACATCGCGCTCCGGGCGGCCAGGGGGTGTCCTGCCTCGTTTCCCCCAGAACGCAGAGTCTCGCGTCTGGTGTGCGTCGCTGTCATTGAGATATACCAGACAGACAGCCAGCCAGCCACGCGTTGCCGAATCGCATCTTGCGAGGCTGGGCCTAGGAAAAACACACGCCTCTTCGTGTTGTCTATTTGTGTTCCGTGACTGGGATGCATCTACGAAGCATAAAGTGCATTTCCCGACCTTTCGCGGACAAGGAGCGACGGGCCAAGAACCTTTTCCCGGATAGTCAATCACGCAGGGGAATAATATACTCAGCCACGAGCATCATCGCGCTCCCTTGCCGCGTCTTCATCGCCCGCAAAAAGCAGTCAACGAGCCGTCCCGGGCGATGCATTGCGAATCCCGGTGGTATGCAACGGGCGTCACTCGGGCGCAGATAAGACAAGGGCCCCGATGGCGGAAAGGGGGGAGCCGCACCATCTCTCCGGGCACCTTGACCCTGCTCTGCCTCCCGCCTTTGTGATCCCAAAAGCAAAAAACATCCAGCAGCTCGCGATCTCTGCCCTCCTCCTGTCTTGTGTCTTGTGTCGCGCGGCACAGGAGGCGTGACGGGCGCAGCGAATCCGCGGGTCCCGAGCCAAAGCAGCTACTCATCCCTAGTCCATCGACGCACAAAGTAAAGGGGAAGGCGGCAAAAGCAACCACGTCGGCCGGTCGGATGGCCAGCCGATCGTAACACGCTGGCGCTGTGCTCGCGGGGTGCGGCTTTACCCTTAGAGGAAGGATAGGATGGGAGTCGAATCGAATCGAATCGAGACGGTCCGGCGTTTTGCCCATTCAAGGGCAGAGACTTTGCTACTGCAGCAGGCCGGCGCAAGGTGTCGGTGGACTAAAAGCGGCGCGGGGTGTAATAACTACTGTGCCTTGTGAACCATATGTGTGCGTTTCGTATCCGACGAGTTGATAGTTCAAACGTTAGTCGGACGCAATGTACGCAGTCCTGTGAAGACGGACGCGCGCGCAGGAATCAATCTCCGACCCTGGCCGTGCCGCCGCCCTTGAGCCAGAAATCCAGCAAGCCCGTGTACGAGGAGACGAACGCTGGGCCGATTGCTACGATGCGATACGACAGGCTCGAACGTCGTCGTCGTGGTCGTGGTCGTTGTCGTGGCGCGGGCGCCGTCTCCGGCAAGGGTCGGCATCCCAAGCTTCCGACTGCGGCCTCGCTGCTGCGCGGTGGCGCGTCCTCGCCCATCACTCAGCATCATGATGTGAGCGCTCTGCTCGAATCACCAGCTAGGTTCCAGGGTGGCCATGTCTCTTGGCCTCGATCGCTCACACCACCACCACCTCGTCATCAGTCGAGCATTGGCACACCCTTTTTCTCCAACCTGCCCATCTGGATGCGCCAAAACCTAAAGCTGCGTCGTCGAGTCTCTCTGTCTCTCACTCTCCTGGCCGCCAGCGCGTCTGGCTGGCTTGCCTGTGCTGGTTCGAGCCGCCCACGTTCGCACACCAAGAGGCCGCACTCGCGGAAGGCGACCGTCCGACCGACTGACTGACGGCTGCTTTTTTGCACAGCGGCGTCGACGTGGTTGCCGCAGCCGTCGATGCCACCACGCGACGTGGGTGTGACGCATGGGAGACCTGCTAACTCGCCCGGCCGTCCATTGGCTTCCCTCGCGCACCACAGGCATGCAGAGGGCAGCTGGGCGGCGTGCTACAGAGCATTATTCGCCGTCGCCGTCGCCGTCGCCGTCGTCGTCCTTGGCCCGGGGGCACGGATACTTGGCCGACAGCGCACGCCCCCCGGCGGCTACACGTCGGGGCTGGCGAGCGAGCCACAGGACGAAGAGGTAGGTGACATTGTCCCGCTTGTCTGTTCCTCGGTCGCATTGCATGCCTTGGCTGCGGCTGGAGCGCAACGCCAAAGAAGCTGTGGTCAGTGTGTTGCTGTAGTTATCTGATTCCTCGGTAGTTCCGCCGACACGCCAGCAGCAGCGCTGGGAATCGGCTCGGGTCCCAGCGTGACGGGACCGGGGGGTGGTCGAGGGGCCGGAGGGGCCTCGGGCCCGCCAGGCTCCATCCGCCGAGTTGGAGTTGTTGCATGGCAGGGGTGCCTGCCTGCCTCTGCGCTGGTGGTAGTGGTGGTGGTGGTGGTGGTGAATGCACGCGAAAGGCATGTCGGCGTCACTGCTGCTGGTACTGCTGCCGCTGCATGTATCGAGTACTCGGTACCCGCCGGATGCCCTGCCCTGCCCTGCCCTGCCCTTCGCTGCGCTCGCTCGGACGGGCGGGCTCGGCGCTCGTCGCAATACCCTCCCTGGAGGAACGGGGTTTCGTCCTTGTTGCCCTCTCCAGCCATCTTTTCCGCCAACACCCTGGTCTGGCTGCAACCAAAGTCCCAAGCCCCTCCTCCAGGATTCGCGCCACGGAACTTTCCATGGCGAGCCTGCGGGTTGCGATGAGGCCACTCCCACGTGGTATGTTGCCGGCGGTGGTTTGTTTGTTGGAGCGCTACATGCGGACGCTGCCCGTGCTGGACAGCATCGCTGTACCCCGTAGTTCGTCGTCTGTACTCATACATGCGAGTCTCGAGAAGCCCGCCGGCCGTCTTGTCGCTGTGGTTGGTCGGCGGCGCTGAAGTCCGTATGCATGAGTGGTATGGTCTGGTCACTGCTGCTTGCCTCCGCGGTGCTCACTCGTGCGTGTGCGTGGCTGTGCATCGCAAAGGACATTGTCCCGTCATTGTACCGACCTCTGTATGGCCAGACGGCCGACCGTCTCCCGTGATGCGGCGTGGTGGTGATTGCCAACATTCAACGAACGTGGGTTCCGGTCTGTCGACCGCAATACCCGGCGCTAGGCAGCCGGTATCACGCCCTCAGCCACCAGCGCGCAAGCGTTCGCGCGGCCCAGCCTGCGGCCCCGGCGCTGGACGCAATCGTAGTGACGTCTGGCCCGCGAGGCCCAGGACCCGCGGCCACAGGAGCGTGCCACAAATCTGGTTGATGCTCGATGCCCACGGGACGATCTCTGAAACCTGCCGCCGACAATCGTGGAAGCATCAGCCATCTGGCGGCCACTGCCCGCCATTCAGCGAAATTGGGATCCCTCCCTCTCCTTCAATCTCCTCGTCGCTTCGCCAAACCCCCGTCCATTGACCGCGTGACTGTGACGTGCGATAATTGTGCATGCATTGGGATGCTTCGCCGACGCAGTGAGAAACGAAAAAGCCAACTCTGCAAAGTACGAGTACGGGCGCCGCGTGTATTGCGCTGTACGCGTCACGGCGTACCAGGTACTTCGAGGCCACCGAGCACCCCGGCAAGACTCTCGGTAATGCGAAATAGCTCGACACTAGGCGCTAGGGTGGTGCAGCAGAAATGACAAGCGAGCGTGTCGGAGTTCGTCCGAGGTCGGTTTCGCTGGCCGGCTCTGTGCCAATTGCTGAGCCATGCCTGGATGCCAGATATCGTCACTGACTCGTGCGCATCGCTGGCCGCTGCACGCTTGCGCGACATGAGGCACTGAAGAAAAAAAAGAGAGACCCCAAGATTGGGTGCCCCGAGCACGCTGCACAACATCGTGGTGCGCTTGCAATCGATGCGCTGTGCACGACTTTTTTCGCCGGATCGCGAGAGGCCGACCGACAACGGCCGAGCGGCGCTCGCCAGTCTTATTCAGTGGCACCCTCCGGGAGCAGCGCCAAGCAAACCATACGACCGAATTCGCAATTGCTGTGCTGCAGGTATTATTCAGTCAATGTACCTGTCGTCCGCTCCCGCGCGCGCCTGCGAGACCGGGGGGGACGCCTGAAGTTGAAGGCATGACGTTGGAGGCATCAGGGCACCGTCCCCCTCCCACAACGCTGCCCCCACTGCTTCCCGCCGTTGCGCTGTGGATGCTCTCGCCCGTGCCGTCGTGACAGCTGGCGGGCTGCGAGGCTCTTGTCCAACGGGATTGTGGGCTAGGGCTTGGAGACGGCAATGTCTGGACCGCACTCCACTTGAGGCTCTTCTGAGTCCCGCTTTCTCGCCAGGAACACATTCGACTGCCGGTGCTGTAGCGGATAATATTGTGGTCCTGTTCAACGTCACACTGGGCTTGCTTGGTTTGGGGGTGGCCCGCGCCCGCCACCGGCTTGGGCTCCCGGAGCGCTGGGACTCGAGCGCCCACTGCTGTCAGCCAGCCAGCCAGCCAGCCAGCCAGCCAGCCAGCCGGCTGCTGAGCCCTGTCCGTATCCATCCATCCTCCCGTCGGCGCCCGTGTGTCGTACTAATGATAGCGTGCTGGCGGCGGCGGCAGCGGATGGTGGTGGTGGTGGGAGCCACGGCGCCGCCAGACAGCGTCTCACAGCCACCGACTGGCTAGCTCGCGCCAAACCCCAACCCTCCGATTATGCACAGCGGCGGAGCTGCCGACGTCTCTCGCAGCGCCCGAGTTCTGTACGGCGGTGCAGTGCCTGTTATGCCGAGGTGCGCGTGTCTGTGATCGTCAGCCACAAGCAGCCACGGGCAGACTGATACGTAGATGTACCGCAGCGCTCGCGTTTGGACGGGGGGTGCGAGAGCCGTCGGTTTTCCGCTTCCAGCAGTTCCGGCCATGGTCGCGACGGGGGCAGGGACATGGTCATGGTTTGGCCCCCTTGCCCTGCTGCTGCAGTCCGTCCTTTCCCGACCAGAACTTGGTGCAAATCTCACGGCTTGATTTGATTGTTGCGCGCTGGCGGGATGATGCAGGCGCCTTGGTCAGGGCCAGCGCAGGGAGGACGAGTACCAGGTTTGCAGGTACGTATCGGCAACATTCTGGTCTGGTTCGGTTTGGTCGTGGTTTGGGAACCCCGGCACCTGGCGATGAATCAGGTAGCGCCATCTGCGACACTGGGGAGAGAGAGCATGTCGCAAGCGGACGTGGATTCCCCATTCGGCCATGGTGGGCGGCGTCCCAGGCCATCTCACGACGGGACCCATCGCATCTCAAATCTGTGCCGTGCGTGCGAGCGGCGAACCGTGGGACGCAGCCGGGCCGCCGTGACGACAGAGGACAATAACTAGGTGTGTTAACGGGAAACCGGATGGTGCGCTTTGGCACGTTGGCTGCCCGGTCCGCGCGTCGGCACTGCAGTAGGTACCGTGCTGTGCAATGTTCGATACACTGACTGGTCTCGCGCGAGCTAGCTCGGTCCGTAGCACAGCAATCCGGCAGGAATTCCGCTCGCACCGTGTGTTATTGACTCGTGCATGTCGTCGCCTCAACGGCATTGGTGAGCCATAAACAATTCAGCCGACCGACGGGTGACAGAAAAAAATCTCTGCGCGTCAGGTGCCAGGCGGTGAGGGATGATTAACCGCATAAACGGCGCCAGCGGTGCGCCCCCCCTGTCGGCGGAGAAATTTCGGCAGCCGGCCAGGCGCCCAAGAACTGGCCCTAGCGCCTTGGGTTCCGCGACGCTGCGGAATTTGGCACAGCGTTATCCATGGAAACCGCTTCAGAATCTGAGCCACGGCCGCCGGAGAGCACGCAACCGGACGTTCTCGAGCCCCCTTTGGCACGTCGCTGCGTCTGCTTGGTCGACGTCTCGCACGCTCTCATCTCAGCACTCACACAAGGGCGCGCACACACTTACAAACGCTCGAGAGTAATGTACCTCCCATCCTCCCATCCTCCCATCCTCCCTCCGCTCGTACGCACACGCACACACACACAGACACGCCACACACATAGACACACGCCCCTCCCCCCCGGCACCAGGAAATTGGCGTGTCCCAATCGACGTCACTCACCCAGTTCACTCCCTAGGTGCTCGAGGCAGAGCCTGTCGGCCGCGGATACCGTGCTCTCCTCCCCCCAAAGGCCACTGACGCGCGCTCTCGCAACGGCCTTGCTCGAAGTACGGGGTACTTCGCCGTCGTCAACCTGAAAGGCGGCAGGGTTCCCTCGCCCGCTGCCTGCTCTTCCGCCTACTCTTCCGCCAGCGCCGACTGCTGGTCCAGCTGGCTCGGCCACGGTCCGACCAGCGGCGAGGGGGAGCCGCGGCGGTGCTGCGGAGGGATTGCCGCCCAGCGACTTGTCGTCGGAAGTGACGGCGCAAGGGAGCAAGGACGCATGATGGTCGACGGTGTTCAAGGTTGCTGCGTTGGACCACCGTCGCTGGGGCTCCCGTGCCGCTGACAGCTGTCGTCTCCTCCGTCCTGTCCTGTCCTGGCCATGGCTGCGCAGCAGCCCATCTTTTTCTCCAAATCTGCGTCTCCTCACGGGAAGCCGACTCCACCGCCTCCAGGGCGAGAAAAGCTTCTGGATCACCTTTCGAAGCTTTTGGTGTCCCCATTCCCCCCTCTCGGCCAGCGGGTTTGGAGGGGTTGAGGGGGGCCAACCCCTGGGCGGTTTGGGGGCTCCAAGGGCTCATGGGCAAGATGGGGCTCACCTCCTTCACGGCGAGCGAAGCAACGGCGGCTGGTCCCACAGATCTACCCTGTGGGCTTGACCATGAGATGTTGGAGACCCTGCGAACCGCCATTGGGCGCCGCCGTTGACGCGAGCCAGGGGAACGGGATCCCCTCCAGATCTCTCGACGCATCCCCATGTCGCCTGCGCGCGCGCGCACCGGGGCAGCAGCTCGTCTGTCGGCCGACTGCGATGCTGTTGGACACTGGCCGTGTTCGCCGGCCGACCAAGATCCCTGCCCTGTCGGCCGCACAGAGAGATGCGACGCCCGCGACGACCACGGCAGGGTTTCGCTCCGTCGGCGCACCTGCGACTCGCTCGTATGGACGTGCAGCTGTCATTCTTCAGGTGATGCGATGCGCAGGGAAAATAGGACCGACGACCGACTTGGCGAGTGGCCAGGCAAGCCAGGCACATCCTGGCCGCCCCCGGGCCCTCTTGACTCGTGGATCCTGGGACGCTGCACATCATCGCCTTGCATTTCCGTCCCTTCATGCTCCAGTTTGCGGCCCCCAAATCCAGCGCTTAATTCTGCGGCATACCGGGCCAAAACGCCCTCCCTCGTGCTAATTTGGACACTTTGTTGACGGCCCACGGAGCCACCAAGATTAGCCGCGCATCGCGGCGACGATGCTCCTGGGCGGCATCGTCGTCGTCGACCCGATGCCCCTGAGCCGACTGGGACAGTGACAGTGAATGCCGCCGACCAAGGGCGAATGGCATGCGAATGACTGACAGTGCCGCTGGGATCAGCTGATACGCGAACAAGGTTGCCGCCAGCCGACCCTCCAGGCGTGGTCCGAGTACGAGTCTTGCGTATTGTACGTGCTATTCCTACCATCGCGGCTGCACCTTATCATGTACGTGCGTACGTGGACAGCTCCGGAGCACAGCATGTACTCGCTGCCCTGCCTTGGCTGCATCGACGGCTCATCACGAGAGCCAAAAGACGCGTTGGTGAACCCAATTGGCGCGGCATCAGGGCTTGCCAAAGCTTGGCTGACTTGTCGTGCGGCTATCGGGCTAGAATTGGTCGTTGATCATGCGCCTTCTCAGTTTCTCATGCTGTTGGTTGCACAATCGCGTGGAGGTTGGCCGATGCGACCGCGATGTGGTAGGCAGTCTGATCAGACGCGGCCGTGGTGGTCAGCACCGAGCTGCCTGCCCGTCACGCCAACGCACGTACGCACGCACGACCGCAGAAAACGAGAGGCTGGACACGGGCTCGCTCGGCGATCCTTCTCGGGCCACCGCTAACCTATCTATGAGGTAATACCGTACGAAGCCTCACGGCTATCGGTTCATCTGAGGCCTTGGTCACCTGCGCGAGCGAATGCTCGCTTGCAGATGCTAACCTGAACGGAGCGAAAAGGTCAACCACGCCGCGACACGGCATCGTCCTGGCGAGCCAAGACGGTGAGGCGTCGCATGGTGTGAGCTCACCCCTTGTCGGGACCTTCCGTCGGCAAAAGAGAACGAGGGGTCCTGGTAGGCATGTAGGGAGATGTATGTCGGTCCCTCATCAGCCATTCTCTCGAATGGCATGCTCGGGGACGTGCTGGCAGCATCGTGGACCAGCGTTGCTGGTCCAAGGCGCCCCCCTCCCCACGCATGGGCTTAGGTTCTTTGGGCAGCATCCCCGACCTGGTCTTGCTTGTCTGGCGCGGCATGGTTCGCCTGCGGCGTGCAAGGAGCATGAACTAGGCTCCGGCAGCAGCCACACCCGCAGTACTCGCGCGCAGGCTTGCTCGCCGCCCGGGAAGTACGGTTGTATGCTGCATCTCAGTGTCTATGTGATGTCAACTTGGTACATAGTAATTCGGCGTCCTGCTCGGAAAGTACTGGCGGGAGGCGCTGCGCTTACACTCGTGATTGTCCGTGGCGATGGTGGAGAGGTACCATAGTAGAGCGTTTCAGCCTTCTTATTGAGGCGGCATCGCAACATCCCATTATACTCATCACGACGAGAAGAATACGAAGCCCACGCCGCCCGAGCATCGGGACACGCTTCCGCGCTATCCCTGCTGGCACACACAGACGCACGAGGCAGCGCCCGGCGGCCAACAATACAAATCAGCATCGTCGCGCACCCGGGCTTTGATCACGCCTACAGCGCTCTGGAGGAGACGGCGCAGCCTGACGGGGTGGCAAGGCGTGTGCGAAGGAGGGGAGGCGTGTGTGCGCGCGTCCTGGGATTGGGACCGGGACTGGACTGGACTGGACTGGCTTGGGCTGGTGGGTGTTGGCACGCGTGCGCGTCTGCCCTTGGATGGAGACTGGCTTGACTGGCCCCGGTTACGGCGCTGGGGCCTGCTGGCCGTCTCCATCCATGTCCGTCCAACGGATCTGCCATCCATCGAGCATCTGCCCGTGTGCCCTGGCCATCGGGGAAGCGCTTCTGCTGATTCCATCCAGCCGTAGCACATCTGATCTGATGCCGCCTGGCGACACGGGCCTCGCCGCATCACATCAGCGTCCTCCAGCACGACGTGGCGGACTGCCCGCCTCTACTGGTAGGGCAGTGGCAGCAGCAGAGCCGAGGGGCGACTCATGCGCTTTTCTCGTGCCTTCCGTCCGCGACTGAGGTGACGGGCAGGTACGCCGACGGTACACCGCCTCGGGGTGTTCCGCGGACGCGGCCGGCATGTGCAGCCCGGGTACCCGTACTTGGTGCTTGAACGAGTAGGCGCGACTGACGAGCCGGCCGACTGGTCGCCGACACCACCTGCGGCAGGCAGGCAGGCAGGCAGGCAGGCAGGCGCGCAAAAACTAACTAATCACTGACGAAAAACACTCATGACAAAGCCTGACTGACCAGCCAAAAGCGCCGGACATCCGGGACGATGAGCAAATAAAAACTCCGAAGGGCAAAAAGGTCCCAAATCGCCCGTTCGAATGAATCAAGCCAAGCCACGAGCCAACCAGACGGACGTGCGGCGCACAATAGGCCGTGATAATGGCCTGGAGGAGAGAATGGGCAGCGCGTCTCCGTCAACCTTCTCGCCTGACCAGCGCCAGCGTCAGGCCAGCCTCGGCCGAGGCAAGCGCGTCCGCCCACTGGGCAGGTACTGGAGTACCGGAGTACCGGAGTACGAGGTACGGAGTTACGGGGCGGCAGTACCTGCCAAATGTGCCATGTACCTTCCAGGTTGGCTCGCGGAAGGCACGTTGGCGCGGGCCAAGCAGGCAGTCGCGATGCGATGCTCTTGCTTGCCATCTTGCACCGCGCTGCAGAATGCGGTGCGGTGCTGTGGGCAAGATGGCAAGTACGGACCACACTCCGGCGAGGTGAGATGGTGAGGTAGGAGGCACTCGCTTGGGGCGCTGCATCCAGTAAGGATGACACCAACCACCACCGCAACCCCTACAGTGGCAGGGACTGCGCGTGGCAAGGCTGTCGCCCCCCCTCCAGCCCATGACAATATGCAGCACCGAACAACGACTACTGTGCAGTAATCCAAGCGAGCGATTCCACAAGGGACGCAGAATGTGACGGGAACGTCCCAAGTAGGTTGGTCAAGTCGACTCGATCCTCTGCTCGTGGCCCGCCCATGCTTGTATTTTGCACCCGTCGCGCCTCCTGTTTTGTACCTCGCCGTGCTCGTCCACGGACACGACCGTGCAAGGCGCGAGTAAGGCACCGGCTAGAAAGAGTCGCTCCTGCCCGTCGCTTCCATTTCCACAGCCCAGTAGCACCATTAGTACGGCAGGTGTGTTGCAGCCGTGCCTTCCTGGCCGTCTCTGCCATCGCATCGTCGGCCAGGGATTGGCAGACGCGCGCGCGCGCGGTCTCCCAAGTCACTGGTACTTCTAGCATGTTCCCCCCCAGCCCGTTTACAGCGACGGAGGCTGCCCTGGACGCCTGCCTTGCTCGTTGTATCTCGCACTAGGGCCACCCCCCGCGCGAAGGTACCTTGTGCGCCACGCCCTGCTCCCAGAATCGCTTGCCCGGCTTGTTCCCTCGACTTTCCGACCTCTCACTTCTCCCCTTCCTCTCGTCTCCCTCTCCCTCTCTTTTCCTTCTTTTTCCATCCTCCGCCTGGCAGAGCAAAGAAAAGCAGTGTTCCACCATCCCTCGCGCACAGAAGAACTCACTCTGCCGCCGCAACGAAACTCACCGTTTCAGACCATTGATCGCGGATCGCGCGGGTGTGTACGCCATTTCGGGGTGAAAAAAAAATACAACGCGCGCCCAAGGGCAAAAAAAAACTTCGGCCGTCGTCTTTTCTGGATCCCAGCACCACACCTTTATCCTGCTTGCGGTTACCAGCCAAAGGGCCCACTTGCCACCATCGAACAAGCACCAAAAGAGCGAAACGGTTCCGCTCTGCCGCCGCCCTCTTGCATCCACTCTCTGCCTGCGCCTACCACACCCGCCGGGAAGAAGGTTTCGCTACTTCGCCATTCACCGTGCGGTACTTCTCCCTCACCTACGGCCAACTGCCTAGCCTGCCTTTCGGCCACGCGAATCGGCAACACATCCACTGCCCACCCTCCACGACACACTTCGACAGAAAAGGTCTTCTGCCTCTGACCTCACGCCTCCACCCACTTTTTTCCGCTCTCGTCTCGCGCTGCGCGGTTGTACCTGACAGTCGTCACCCCCAGTCCGGTCAAGGGAAAAAAATAAAAACAGGACCAGGACCCAGTCTCCACACTGGAACCCTCCCCCGAACACCACACCTCCAAGAGGGACCTTCCTTGAGCCGCTTCATCCACCGTCTTCTCGCATCGTCGCGTGGGCCTCTTCGCAAACCCGTCGTTTGCATCTGCATCACCTCGCGCAAGACTTTGGGTCCGCTCCTCGTTGGATCCTCCCGTCTTCCCTCCCAGCCTCGAGGCAATCATCGATAGCTTCGGCTCGCCGTTAGTCCCGCCATCGCCAACGGTCGTCCCGCGACGTCCCGCCCCCTCACGCTTCGCGACGCGTCTCGAGCAGTAGCATGGACAGTTCTCACTACCCGTCCAATGGTATAAACACGACGTCCGCGCCACAGACATACCCATCGCCAACTGCCATCTCGCCCAACCAGCTCCAGACGGGTTCCCCTCTGCCGCAGACGCTGCCTCCTCTGCAGCCCCCGACCTCCGCCATGCAGCCCATGTACGGTAGCCACCCGCACACGCCGCGGACTCCTGGGACGCCCAACACTCCCAACTCGACTGGGAACGTGCCGACGTACCAGAACACGTCCCAGCCCGCGTCCCGGCCCGGCGTCTACGCCATGGCTCAGAACCCGTATCCCCCCCACCCGGGATACGCGACCTCGGCCGCCATGATGCCGCAGACTACCACCGCCGCGTCTCACCCGCAGCCCATTGCGCCCGCCCCCGTCGGCGGCCGTGGCCCTCCGGTCCTGCGCCCCATGCCTCCGGGCGGCCTCATGCCCCAGCCCGGCCAGCCCTCGCCTTACGGCCCCGGCTCGCTGATGCAGCCCAACCCGGTCCTCCAGGAGGGCGACCAGCCGACGCACGTCGTGGGCTCTCAGGGCCGCCGCGGCATCCTGCCCAGCGCCCCGGGACGGCCTGCCGCGCCTCCTGCCGGCACCACCGCGGCTAAGAACACCGTGATTCCCGTCAAGGATGCGGACGGCAAGTTCCCTTGCCCGCACTGCACCAAGACCTACCTTCATGCGAAGCATCTGAAGCGTCACCTTCTCCGACGTAAGTCAAATCCCTTTGTTTTTACCTGATTTTTCGCGGCGCGTCCTGACCACATCGGCAGACACCGGCGATCGCCCCTACATGTGTGTGCTTTGCCGTGATACGTTTTCCCGAAGTGATATCTTGAAGCGTCACTTCCAGAAGTGCTCCATTCGTCGTGGCAACCCCACCGGAGCCAGCCACCTGTCTCATCCGCAGGCCCACGTTAAGAAGAATGCTCAGGCCCAGAAGGCTGCCGGCCTCGCCAACGAGGGCGACATGAACCACCTCAATGGCCTCAACAACATGCCCCAGGCCGACGGCATGGTCCACCCCTTTGGCATGGTTCCCGTCCAGGACGGCATGAACAACATGGCCGGTGACCAGAACCAGCTCTCGCGTTCCAACAGCATGAACAGGCTCGAGAACGGCGCGCCCCAGGATCGGAGAAACATGCCTGGCATGAACAACTCGCAGCCCTATGGTGCCGACCCCAACTCGATGAACCAGCAGCAGATGCCCCAATACGGCGTGCCCCACGGTCAGAACGGGATGCCCATGTATGGCGGTTCCAACGCGAATCAACAATCTGGCCTCGATTGGTCTCAGATGTTCCAGGCTGGTGCGCATCAAACCCTCAACGAGCATCCATTTCATCCTCCTAATCGTGGGCAGACGCAGATCGGAACCAAAACCGGGCCTAATTCCTCTATGGGGACGACGGGTTGCAGCTCCAGCGACGCCGTCGTCTACTCTGAGTGGGGCATACCGTCGAGTGTCGAGAATCCTTATACCCAGCTTTCTAACCAGATCCTTAATTTCTTCTACCCCCCCAACGAGGCGATTGACCCTCATCTGACCGGCATGAACCTGCATCTTTCCCCTGAAAACGTTGACAACTTCATTGGCCACTTCGACAAATTCCACCAGCACGCGCCGCTGCTTCACAAGCCATCGTTCCGGATCATGGATGCTCACATCGGCTTGGTCACTTGCATGTGCTGCATAGGCGCCTGCTATTCGGATCGACTGGAACCTTCCGTCGTCCGCGAGATGATGGATAACCTGTGGATCTCGATGGAGCGGGACTGCCTCGGCGCGATGCCGACGTCCTACTCTGTGGACAGCGGCGACGAAGGTGCCTCAACTGCGGACGTACAGGTGCTGCAGGCTCTTGTACTGATGAGCGCTCTTCACGTGTGGAACGGAACTTCGCAGCAGCGAACCCGGGCGAGAAAGGCGTTTCCTCAAGTCGCGTCGCAGGCGAGGCGCCTCGGTCTGCTGCATCACCACGGGCCCGGCAAACCTGTGCAGGATTGGCCTGCCTGGGCGGATTCCGAACAGCGTCTACGGCTCATGCACGGCATTATTATGTGCGACACGGTTTGGGCATTGTATTGCAATATTCCGCCACAGTTTGAGCCGTTCGAGGTCCAACTGCCCCTCCCGTGCGACGAGGCTCTTTGGAGTGCCAGGACTGAATCCGATTGGGCGTCAATCACTAGAACACGGCAGAGCCCCAGTTCTTTGCATGGCGACCAACCCGAGTTCGATCTTGCTCTGCGGACACTGCTACATCCGCTGTATCGAATAAGCAAGGGCAGCACGAGTACGGGCGGGAAGTGGGTGCTGTTGTTTGCCGTCATGGCTCTCACGTGGCGCGCCCAGCGGGGTGGATTCTGGGGGAATCTCCACCAAGATGACCCCCTTCCTTCCCGCGTGTGGATCATGGAGCACGGCGGAGTCAAAATGGAGACAGATCCAGTCAACGGCCAGTGCCTCGATCCGCAAAGCTACCTTGTCCTGGGTGGCGCACTCGATAAAGTCAAGTCAATTTTGGACGAGGACGCCCCATCGACCTCGGCGGCGGGCCAGGGACCCGAAGGCTGCATCCACACTGACACCATCCTGTCGTACTGGATAGCGAAACGTCTGTTGACGTATAAGCTGCCAGATGACCCGGAACTGTCAGAGGAGGCATGCTTCATGCGGGTTCTGCAGCTCATGGACGGCATCAGGGCTTGGGTCGTCAACAATGGGGAGGCAAAAGGAGAGAAATTGGAGCTGGTTGGGGAGATTAAGGAACATGAGGATTCGACGTTGAACATGACGGACTTTTTCGGCAACGCCCCCCGCGGAGCAGGCGACACTGGAGCAGCACCAGCCACAAATTGAAAACGGCACAATCGGAGGAAAAAGGAAAAAAAAACATGTTACGATTGACAAAAGCATTGGGGAAGGAGGCTGCATTCGGTGGCGTTGAGATCCGTGTTTGTTTTCTCTTTCGCTCTTGTTCTGGTTTGTGGATTTCATGCGTTTCGGGGACCAGTTTGGGGCTTTGACGGGTGGACCTATAGCGGCCATGGCTGCTGGCAGGCGCCAAGGCGTGCTGGCTCTTGTGAAGCAAGGCGGAAGGGCGGTCCAGCTCTGCAAATGCATTTCCGAAAAGGATAGACGGCGGACGGGAGTTGATTGCATTACTAGACTTTTTGCACCCAGATAGAACGGACGGTCGGTCGGCTACTGTGTATTTTCGAGGGCCATGATGACTCTATGGCCGGAATTGATCAACGATGTCCTGTACGCTCTACTCTGAATGACGGTGACCATGTTTATGAAGTCGTGTGGTTCGTAAACAGCATTTGCTGGGCAAGTCGAAGTAGTATTGTGATGTCTTTGTCATGGCATTGGGTGGCTATCGTACATGGCAGATTACCTCAAGCACGTCGTTTCGTACGTGCGTTTGACCTTATTTATCCCCACGATCAGGCTTCTCAACGGTTACGATGCGGGGCGTCCAGCTGCGCAGCTCCTCCTTGTCCTTGTCTGACGGGGTATATCCAAACTTCTCCTCGGCGCGGTCGCTCAGGTAAAGCCCAGCGACGCCCCACGCGATGACGCCGACACCGACGGCGAGGCGCGTCTTGGGCGAGAGGTTCTTGTATGCTCTATTCGCGCGGAGGGAGGAGGGGAGCGGCCTCATCAGCGGGTGTTGCGCGACTCGGTGGGATGGCCGGCACGGGTGGTGCGATGAGGGAGATGGATGGGGGAAGGATGGATGAAGGCAAGGAGGTGAATGAGAGGGGTGGGCAAGGGGTGAGAAGTTGGGGAGAAGGGGG